TATTCTATATTCTACATTCTCTGTGTATTCTATATTCTACATTCTCTATGTATTCTATATTCTATATTCTCTGGATATTCTATATTCTACATTCTCTGTGTATTCTATATTCTATATTCTCTGTGTATTCCTATATTCTCTGTGTATTCTATATTCTACATTCTCTGTGTATTCTATATTCTACATTCTCTGGGTATTCTATATTCTATATTATATGTGTATTCTACATTCTCTGTGTATTCTATATTCTATATTCTCTGGGTATTCTATATTCTACATTCTCTGTGTATTCTATATTCTATATTCTCTGTGTATTCCTATATTCTCTTTGTATTCTATATTCTATATTCTCTGTGTATTCTATATTCTACATTCTCTGTGTATTCTATATTCTATATTATATGTGTATTCTACATTCTCTGTGTATTCTATATTCTACATTCTCTGTGTATTCTATATTCTATATTCTCTGTGTATTCCTATATTCTCTGTGTATTCTATATTCTACATTCTCTATGTATTCTACAGTGGGGGAAAAAAGTATTTAGTCAGCCACCAATTGTGCAAGTTCTCCCACTTAAAAAGTTGAGAGAGGCCTGTAATTTTCATCATAGGTACACGTCAACTATGACAGACAAAATGAGAAAAAAAAATCCAGAAAATCACATTGTAGGATTTTTTATGAATTTATTTGCAAATTATGGTGGAAAATAAGTATTTGGTCAATAACAAAAGTTTCTCAATACTTTGTTATATACCCTTTGTTGGCAATGACACAGGTCAAACGTTTTCTGTAAGTCTTCACAAGGTTTTCACACACTGTTGCTGGTATTTTGGCCCATTCCTCCATGCAGATCTCCTCTAGAGCAGTGATGTTTTGGGGCTGTCGCTAGGCAACACAGATTTTCAACTCCCTCCAAAGATTTTCTATGGGGTTGAGATCTGGAGACTGGCTAGGCCACTCCAGGACCTTGAAATGCTTCTTACGAAGCCACTCCTTCGTTGCCCGGGCGGTGTGTTTGGGATCATTGTCATGCTGAAAGACCCAGCCACGTTTCATCTTCAATGCCCTTGCTGAGGGAAGGAGGTTTTCACTCAAAATCTCACGATACATGGCCCCATTCATTCTTTCCTTTACACGGATCAGTCGTCCTGGTCCCTTTGCAGAAAAACAGCCCCAAAGCATGATGTTTCCACCCCCATGCTTCACAGTAGGTATGGTGTTCTTTGGATGCAACTCAGCATTCTTTGTACTCCAAACACGACAAGTTGAGTTTTTACCAAAAAGTTCTATTTTGGTTTCATCTGACCATATGACATTCTCCCAATCCTCTTCTGGATCATCCAAATGCACTCTAGCAAACTTCCGACGGGCCTGGACATGTACTGGCTTATGCAGGGGGACACAGCAGGATTTGAGTCCCTGGCGGCGTAGTGTGTTACTGATGGTAGGCTTTGTTGCTTTGGTCCCAGCTCTCTGCAGGTCATTCACTAGGTCCCCCCATGTGGTTCTGGGATTTTTGCTCACCGTTCTTGTGATCATTTTGACCCCACGGGGTGAGATCTTGCGTGGAGCCCCAGATCGAGGGAGATTATCAGTGGTGTTGTATGTCTTCCATTTCCTAATAATTGCTCCCACAGTTGATTTCTTCAAACCAAGCTGCTTACCTATTGCAGATTCAGTCTTCCCAGCCTGGTGCAGGTCTACAATTTTGTTTCTGGTGTCCTTTGACAGCTCTTTGGTCTTGGCCATAGTGGAGTTTGGAGTGTGACTGTTTGAGGTTGTGGACAGGTGTATTTTATACTGATAACAAGTTCAAACAGGTGCCATTAATACAGGTAACGAGGGGAGGACAGAGGAGCCTCTTAAAGAAGAAGTTACAGGTCTGTGAGAGCCAGAAATCTTGCTTGTTTGAAGGTGACCAAATACTTATTTTCCACCATAATTTGCAAATAAATTCATAAAAAATCCTACAATGTGATTTTCTGGATTTTTTTTCCTCAATTTGTCTGTCATAGTTGACGTGTACCTATGATGAAAATTACAGGCATCTCTCATCTTTTTAAGTGGGAGAACTTGCACAATTGGTGGCTGACTAAATACTTTTTTTCCCCACTGTATATTCTATATTCTCTGGGTATTCTATATTCTATATTATATGTGTATTCTATATTCTACATTCTCTGTGTATTCTATATTCTATATTCTCTATGTATTCTATATTCTCTGGGTATTCTATATTCTATATTATATGTGTATTCTATATTCTACATTCTCTGTTTATTCTATATTCTATATTCTCTGTGTATTCTACATTCTCTGTGTATTCTATATTCTACATTCTCTGGGTATTCTATATTCTACATTCTCTGTGTATTCTACATTCTCTGTGTATTCTATATTCTACATTATCTGGGTATTCTATATTATATGTGTATTCTCTATTCTATATTCTCTATGTATTCTATATTCTATATTCTCTATGTATTCTATATTCTATATTATCTATGTATTCTATATTCTATATTCTCTGGGTATTCGATATTCTCTGGGTATTCTATATTCTCTATGTATTCTATATTCTCTGTGTATTCTCTATTCTATATTCTCTATATATTCTATATTCTCTATGTATTCTATATTCTATATTCTCTATGTATTCTATATTATATATTCTCTGGGTATTCGATATTCTCTGGGTATTCTATATTCTCTATGTATTCTATATTCTCTATGTATTCTATATTCTCTGTGTTTTCTCTATTCTATATTCTCTATATATTCTATATTCTCTGTGTATTCTATATTCTATATTCTCTGGGTATTCTATATTCTCTGCATATTCTAGTTTCTCTGTGTATTCTATATTCTATATTCTCTGTGTATAGAATACACAGCAACGCCAGGGTTGTGGGTTCGTTTCCCACGGGGGGCCAGTATGAAAATGTATGCACTCACTAACTGTAAGTCACTCTGGATAAGAGTGTCTGCTAAATGACTAAAATGTAAATGTAATAATAATATGCCATTTAGCAGACACTTTTATCCAAAGCGACTTACAGTCATGCATGCATACATTTTTACGTATGGGTGGTCCCTGGGATCGAACCCACTACCCTGGCGTTACAAGCGCCGTGCTCTACCAATTGAGCTACAGAGGACCACATGTAGCCTGTATTCTCTGGGTATCCTATATATTCTGCATTTTTCCTGTGTCCTCTATAATGTTGCTCCTCACATGTCCGAGGCAGCCAGCTGGGTGATGTCCCATTGTACACAGATACCTGATCAATAAGTAAACACAAAGTAATCAATACACGCTCTCCACTCTCCTCCACTGCCATGGCACTAAACCACTGGCCAGTAACTAATGCCCAACAGCTTAACTGGTAGCGTCATTCATCAGCTTGTTTTCCGGGCTGCTCTGTTCAAATAATTCATATTACATGTATGTGATTCATTAATGAGGTGTGACCTGTCCCTCCGTTTGTCCTGCTGTGTAATCACCATGGAATCCCTCTCTCTTTCTCTCTTTCTGTTTCTCTTTCTGTCTCTTTCTGTCTCTCTCTGCAGGATAACTGACAACTTGCTGGCGATGGCAAGGCCTTCTACTGAAATCCTAGAGAAATACAATATCATAGAGCAGTTTACAAGGTACTCTCCTTTATTGTGTGTATGGTGTTTTAGAAGACAAAACACTAAATGTTGCTACTTGATCTGTATTTTGCTACCGCTGGTTGTACTGACAGGATTTATTCATCTCTGGCGGTGCTAATAGCTAGTGACAGCTAGTGGTCTCCTGGTGGTGCTAATAGCTAGTGACAGCTAGTGGTCTCCTGGTGGTGCTAATAGCTAGTGACAGCTAGTGGTCTCCTGGTGGTGCTAATAGCTAGTGACAGCTAGTGGTCTCCTGGTGGTGCTAATAGCTAGTGACAGCTAGTGGTCTCCTGGTGGTGCTAATAGCTAGTGACAGCTAGTGGTCTCCTGGTGGTGCTAATAGCTAGTGACAGCTAGTGGTCTCCTGGTGGTGCTAATAGCTAGTGACAGCTAGTGGTCTCCTGGTGGTGCTAATAGCTAGTGACAGCTAGTGGTCTCCTGGTGGTGCTAATAGCTAGTGACAGCTAGTGGTCTCCTGGTGGTGCTAATAGCTAGTGACAGCTAGTGGTCTCCTGGTGGTGCTAATAGCTAGTGACAGCTAGTGGTCTCCTGGTGGTGCTAATAGCTAGTGACAGCTAGTGGTCTCCTGGTGGTGCTAATAGCTAGTGACAGCTAGTGGTCTCCTGGTGGTGCTAATAGCTAGTGACAGCTAGTGGTCTCCTGGTGGTGCTAATAGCTAGTGACAGCTAGTGGTCTCCTGGTGGTGCTAATAGCTAGTGACAGCTAGTGGTCTCCTGGTGGTGCTAATAGCTAGTGACAGCTAGTGGTCTCCTGGTGGTGCTAATAGCTAGTGACAGCTAGTGGTCTCCTGGTGGTGCTAATAGCTAGTGACAGCTAGTGGTCTCCTGGTGGTGCTAGTAGCTAGTGACAGCTAGTGGTCTCCTGGTGGTGCTAATAGATAGTGACAGCTAGTGGTCTCCTGGTTGTGCTAATAGCTAGTGACAGCTAGTGGTACTAATAGCTAGTGGTCTCCTGGTCGTCTCCTGGTGGTGCTAATAGCTAGTGACAGTTAGTGGTCTCCTGGTGGTGCTAATAGCTAGTGACAGCTAGTGGTCTCCTGGTGGTGCTAATAGCTAGTGACAGCTAGTGGTCTCCTGGTGGTGCTAGTAGCTAGTGACAGCTAGTGGTCTCCTGGTGGTGCTAATAGATAGTGACAGCTAGTGGTCTCCTGGTTGTGCTAATAGCTAGTGACAGCTAGTGGTCTCCTGGTGGTGCTAATAGATAGTGACAGCTAGTGGTCTCCTGGTGGTGTTAATAGCTAGTGACAGCTAGTGGTCTCCTGGTGGTGCTAATAGCTAGTGACAGCTAGTGGTCTCCTGGTGGTGCTAATAGCTAGTGACAGCTAGTAGTCTCCTGGTGGTCTCAGGTGTGACGTGTAGGCAGGCCTATTTGTGGTGCTGATAGCTGGTAACATGTCCCCTCCCGCTGCTCCTCCAGGTGTGGCCTTCGTACGGTGATCAACCTGCAGCGTCCCGGGGAACATGCCAGCTGTGGTAACCCTCTGGAACACGACTCTGGATTCACCTACAGACCTGAGATGTTCATGGAGGCTGGCAGTGAGTATCTCTACCTCAGTTCAATGTAAGGGCTTTATTGGCATGGGTTAAGTAGATAGGAAACAAAAGTGAAATTAACAATCACTATGAACAGTAAACATTACACTCAGAAGATCCAAAAGAATAAAGACATTTCAAATGTCATATTATGTATATATACAGTGTTGTAACAATGTGCAAATAGTTAAAGTACAAATGGGAAAATAAATAAACGTAAATATGGGTTGTATTTACAATGGTGTTTGTTCTTCACTGATTGCCCTTTTCTTGTGGCAAAAGGTCACAAATATTGCTTATGTGATGGCACACTGGGGTATTTCACCCAGTAGATAAGGGAGTTTATCAAAATTGGGTTTGTTTTCTAATTCTTTGTGGATCTCTGTAATCTGAGGGAAATATGTGTCTCTAATATGGTGATACATTTGGCAGGAGAATAGGAAGTGCAGCTCAGTTTTCACCTCATTTTGTGGGCAGTGTGCACATAGCCTGTCTTCTCTCTCTCTCTCTCTCTCTTTTTGTGTCTGTGTGTCTCTGTGTCTGTCTGGATTCACATACCAACCTGAGATATTCGTAGAGGCTGGCAGTGAGTATCCACCTCTCTCTCTGTCTGTCTCTCTCTCTCTTTACACTTTCTCATATATTAACTAGCCAGGTAAGAGTCAGTGACGAGGGAATACTAGTGTGTAATGTTTTCTGATATCACACACCACCCTGACTGACCTAGCAGTATTTGATTCATTTGATTATGATGTCATCTTCATGATGCCCAGCCCACGTGGTCTTATAACACACTGTAGTATCCAAATAATATACTTATTTATTCACATACCTACCTACACATACATACCTACGTACACACACAAACACACATACATACCTACGTACACACACAAACACACGTACATACATACCTACCTACACATACCTACGTACACAAACACATACTGTACATACCTACATATATACAGTGTGGTGTAGCAGCAGTGTGTAGCAGCGGTGTGTAGTAGTGTGTAGCAGCAGTGTGTAGTAGTGTGTAGCAGCAGTGTGTAGAGGTGTGTAGCAGCAGTGTGTAGCAGTGTGTAGCAGTGTGTAGCAGTGTGTAGTAGTGTGTAGTAGCAGTGTGTAGTAGCAGTGTGTAGAGGTGTGTAGTAGTGTGTAGAGGTGTGTACATTGTGGTTGTACATGTAACAGTATGCTGATGATAAGTTAATGACATGTTGATTGTCTTATGTGTCATTCTGAACCCATAGTATATAGAGTATAAAGCACTGAGGCAGTGCCAACCTGTTAGCTAACTTACTGGGTTAATAATGGGAATATAATGATGTGATGGTGATAGGGATTTCAGTCAATGACTGGACTGGAAATCAATTCATGTTTTATTGGTCGCATAAACATATTTAGCAAATGTTATCGCAGGTGCAGCGAAATACTTATGTTTCTAGCTCCAACAGTGCAGTATACCTAACAATACCTAACAATACGCAGAAATCCCAAAAATTAAAAGAAAGAAATTAAGAAATGTCAGAATGATGAATGTCAGAATCCGGAATATTGGAATTATATTAAAATATAATATTGGATTCTGACTTTGATCATTCTGACATTTCTTCATTTTAATTTGGGAATTCTGTGTATTGTTATATATATATATATATACAGTGCCCTCCACAATTATTGGCACCCCTGTTTAAGATGTGGTCGAGGACTTCCAAAAATTCTCATTTTTTTTTAAACAACATAGAACCCAAATGCAAAAAAAAGAGAAAAATCCAACCTTTTATTTAAGTACATTACTTTGGTGTAAAAAAAAAAAAATCACACATTTAGAAAAAAGAAAACTTGAAATCATGTGTCCCACAATTATTGGCACCCCTGATGTTAATACTTTGTACAACCCCCTTTTGCCAACAAGACAGCACTTAATCTCCTCCTATAACATTTCACAAGATTGGAGAACACAGAGAGAGGGATCTTTGACCATTCTTCTTTGCACAATCTTTCTAGATCATCCAGTGTCCTGGGTCCTCTCTTATGCACTCTCCTCTTTAGCTCGCCCCACAGGTTTTCGATTGGGTTGAGGTCTGGGGACTGAGATGGCCATGGGAGGACCTTGAGTTTGTGACTGCTGAACCATTTTTGTGTAGATTTTGCCACATGTTTTGGATCATTATCCTGCTGAAAGACCCAATGACGACCCATCTTCAGCTTTCTGGCAGAGGCCATCAGGTTTTTATTTAAAATGTCCTGGTAGTTCAAAGCGTTCATAATGCCATGCACCCTAACAAGGTTCCCAGGGCCTTTGGAAGAGAAACAGGCCCACAGCATCACAGATCCTCCACCATACTTCACGGTGGGCATGAGGTGCTTTTCGGCATACTCATCTTTTGTTTTACGCCAGACCCACTTAGAGTGTTTGTTGCCAAAAAGCTCAATCTTAGTCTCATCTGACCAAAGCACACGATCCCAGTTGAAGTCCCAGTGCCGCTTAGCAAACTCCAGATGTTTACGTTTGTGAGTGTTAGTGAGAAAAGGCTTTTTCCTTGCATGCCTCCCAAACAGCTTGTTGGCATGTAGAGAGCGTTTGGCCCATTACTCCTGAGTGGCGCAGTGGTCTAAGGCACTGCATCGCAGTGCTAACTGTGCCACTAGAGATCCTGGTTCGAATCCAGGCTCTGTCGCCGCCGGCCGCGACCGGGAGACTCATGGGCGGCGCACAATTGGCCCAGCGTCGTCCAGGGTAGGGGAGGGAATGGCCGGCAGGGATGTAGCTCAGTTGATAGAGCATGGCGTTTGCAACGCCAGGGTTGTGGGTTCGTTTCCCACGGGGGGCCAGTATAAAAAAAAAATATGTAAGTCGCTCTGGATAAGAGCGTCTGCTAAATGACTAAAATGTAAATGTAAAATGTCTGATGGTTGTTTTGGAGACGTTGTGACCCCAAGATGCCACTCTTTGATGCAATTCTGTGACAGTGAGCTTAGGACTTTTTTTTACTTCTCTTACCATCCTCCTCACTGTGCGTTGTGGCAAGATAAACTTGGGACCTCTTCCAGCCTTGTTTGTCACTGTTCCAGTTGTTTAAAACTTCTTAATGATTCCTCTGACTGTAGATACGGGCAAGTTAAGGCGAGTGGCTGTTTTCTTGTAGCCATTGCCTGACTTATGAAGGTCGACACAAATCTGCCTTACTTGAATGGTGTGTTCTCTTGTCTTTGCCATGTTGACAAATGGGTAAGAGAATTAGGCCTCTGTGTCACGTCATATTTATACCCCAGGGAAACAGGAAGTCATGAATTACTAATTAAAAGTTCCTAGATACCCTGACCAACTTTAGCAACTACAGAAAAATATATTTTTAAAAAAATCAATTAAAAATTTCAGCGGAATTGTTAGGGGTGCCAATAATTGTGGGACACATGATTTCAAGTTTTTTTTATTTAAATTTTTGATTTTTTTTTTACCACCAAAGTAATGTACTTAAATAAAAGGTTGGATTTTTCTCTTTTTTTGCATTTGGGTTCTATGTTGTTAAAAAAAAAAAGGAGAATTTTTGGAAGTCCTCGACCACATCTTAAACAGGGGTGCCAATAATTGTGGAGGGCACTGTATATATATACATACATACATACAGTGGGGGAAAAAAGTATTTAGTCAGCCACCAATTGTGCAAGTTCTCCCACTTAAAAAGATGAGAGAGGCCTGTAATTTTCATCACAGGTACACGTCAACTATGACAGACAAAATGAGAAAAGAAAATCCTGAAAATCACATTGTAGGATTTTTAATGAATTTATTTGCAAATTATCCCCTTTCCCCTAACCCTGTCCCCTTTGCAGAAAAGCATCCCCAAAGAATGATGTTTCCACCTCCATGCTTCACGGTTGGGATGGTGTTCTTGGGGTTGTACTCATCCTTCTTCTTCCTCCAAACACGGCGAGTGGAGTTTAGACCAAAAAGCTCTATTTTTGTCTCATCAGACCACATGACCTTCTCCCATTCCTCCTCTGGATCATCCAGATGGTCATTGGCAAACTTCAGACGGGCCTGGACATGCGCTGGCTTGAGCAGGGGGACCTTGCGTGCGCTGCAGGATTTTAATCCATGACGGCGTAGTGTGTTACTAATGGTTTTCTTTGAGACTGTGGTCCCAGCTCTCTTCAGGTCATTGACCAGGTCCTGCCGTGTAGTTCTGGGCTGATCCCTCACCTTCCTCATGATCAGTGATGCCCCATGAGGTGAGATCTTGCATGGAGCCCCAGACCGAGGGTTATTGACCGTCATCTTGAACTTCTTCCATTTTCTAATAATTGCGCCAACAGTTGTTGCCTTCTCACCAAGCTGCTTGCCTATTGTCCTGTAGCCCATCCCAGCCTTGTGCAGGTCTACAATTTTATCCCTGATGTCCTTACACAGCTCTCTGGTCTTGGCCATTGTGGAGAGGTTGGAGTCTGTTTGATTGAGTGTGTGGACAGGTGTCTTTTATACAGGTAACGAGTTCAAACAGGTGCAGTTAATACAGGTAATGAGTGGAGAACAGGAGGGCTTCTTAAAGAAAAACTAACAGGTCTGTGAGAGCCAGAATTCTTACTGGTTGGTAGGTGATCAAATACTTATGTCATGCAATAAAATGCAAATTAATTACTTAAAAATCATACAATGTGATTTTCTGTATTTTTGTTTTAGATTCTGTCTCTTACAGTTGAAGTGTCCCTATGATAACAATTACAGACCTCTACATGCTTTGTAAGTAGGAAAACCTGCAAAATCGGCAGTGTATCAAATACTTGTTCTCCCCACTGTAAGTCTCCACACCTGGTTTGTGCAACATTTGCCCATTATTCTTTTTAAAATTCTTCAAGCTCAAATTGGTTGTTGATCATTGCTAGATAAACATTTTCAGGTCTTGCCATAGATTTTCAAGTAGATTTAATTCAAAACCGTAACTCGACCACTCAGGAACATTCACAATCTTCTTGGTAACCAACTCCAGTCTAGATTTGGCCTTGTGTTTTAGGTTATTGTCCTGCTGAAAGATGAACTCATCTCCCAGTGTCTGGTGGAAAGCAGACTGAACCAGATTTTCCTCTAGGATTTTGCCTGTGCTTAGCTCCATTCTGTTTCTTTTTTATCCTAAAAAACTCCCCAGTCCTTAACAATTATAAGCATACCTATTACATGATTCAGCCACCACTATGCTTGAAAATATGGAACGCAGTAATGTGTTGTATTGGATTTGCCCCAAACATAACACTTTGTATTCAGGACAAGAAGTTAATTGCTTAGCCACATTTTTTGCAGTATTACTTTAGTGCCTTTTTGCAAACAGGATGCATGTTTTACAATATTTTTTATTTTGAACAGGCTTCCTTCTTTTCACTCTGTCAATTAGGTTAGTATTGTGGAGTAACTACAACATTACATTTTAGTCATTTAGCAGACACTCTTATCCAGAGCGACTTACAGTTAGTGAGTGCATACATTTTCATACTGGCCCCCCTTGGGAAACGAACCCACAACCCTGGCGTTGCAAGCGCCATGCTCTACCAACTGAGCTACAGGGGACCCTGAATACATACACAATATAGAATACACAGACCATATAGAATATACAATACACAGATAATATAGAATACACAGAGAATATATAATATAGAATACACAGAGAATATAGAATACATAGAGAATATAGAATACACAGATAATATAGAATATAGAATACACAGAGAATGTAGAATATAGAATACACAGAGAATAAAGGAATACACAGAGAATATATAATATAGAATACCCAGAGAATATAGAATACACAGAGAATATATAATATAGAATACACAGAGAATATATAATATAGAATACACAGAGAATATAGAGTATAGAATACACAGAGAATATAGAATACCCAGTGTTCTCACAGCCATTAAACTCTGTAACAGTTTTAAAGTCACCATTGGCCTCATGGTGAAATCCCTGAGCGGTTTCCTTCCTCTCCGGCAACTGAGTTAGGAAGGACGCCTGTATCTTTGTAGTGACTGGGTGTATTGATACACCATCCAAAGTGTAATTAATAGCTTCACCATGCTCAAAGAGATATTCAATATCTTACTTTTTTATTTGTACCCATCTACCAATAGGAGCCCTTCTTTGCGAGGCATTGGAAAACCTCCCTGGTCTTTGTGGTTGAATCTGTGTTTGAAATCCACTGCTCGACTGAGGGACCTTACAGATCATTGTATGTGTGGGGTACAGAGATGAGGTAGTCATTCATGTTAAAACTATTATTACACACATTATTATGTGACTTGTTAAGCACAGTTTTACTCCAGAACATATTTAGACTTACCATAACAAAGGGGTTGAATACTTTATTGACTCATGATATTTTAACTTTTCGTTTTAAATTAATTTGTCAAACATAATTCCACTTTGACATTATGGGGTATTGTGTGTAGGCCAGTGAAACAATATATATACATTTGATCCATTTTAAATTCAGGCTGTAACACAACAAAATGTGGAAAAAGTCAAGGGGTGTGAATACTTTCTGAAGGCACTGTATATCAGTTGCCAATTTTTCTTCGTAGCTAAGTGTTAACTTATGTTTGATCATGTTGACATTGCGTCATAACTTATTTCTAAACATGTGTTGGGGCAAGCTTATGCATTCCAAGGAAACATCTATGTCTCTGTTTTCCAAGGAAACATTTATGTCTCTGTTTTCCAAGGAAACATCTATGTCTCTGTTTTCCAAGGAAACATCTATGTCTCTGTTTTCCAAGGAAACATCCATGTCTCTGTTTTGAATAGAGTTAGCTGTTTTGGATTCTTTACAAACCCAGATTCCAGCAGCATAGTTCAGTACAGGAGAAACACATTCATTCTAGAGCTGTGAATATGTCCAATAGCCAAGGTCTTATAGATGTTCAGTGTACTACCAACAGACCCCAACGCTCTGCCTGCACAATCTGATAGAGACTTTATACATCCATCAGAAAGGAATCCAAGGTATTTATATGAGCTAGTGTAGTTTAGGGGATGTTGCTCCAACAGAGAAGTACTGAATAATTCTTATTGTAGCCCTTTTTTTTCTGCAGTGCATTATCTTACTGTTGATCCAACCTCATCTAACAGTGTGTGTTCATTACCATAGCCAGTGCATTATCTTACCGTTGATCCAACCTCATCTAACAGTGTGTGTTCATTACCATAGCCTGTGCATTATCTTACTGTTGATCCAACCTCATCTAACAGTGTGTGTTCATTACCATAGCCAGTACATTATCTTACTGTTGATCCAACCTCATCTAACAGTGTGTGTTCATTACCATAGCCAGTGATTATCTTACGGTTGATCCAACCTCATCTAACAGCGTGTGTTCATTACCATAGCCAGTGATTATCTTACGGTTGATCCAACCTCATCTAACAGTGTGTGTTCATTACCATAGCCAGTGATTATCTTACTGTTGATCCAACCTCATCTAACAGCGTGTGTTCATTACCATAGCCAGTGATTATCTTACTGTTGATCCAACCTCATCTAACAGTGTGTGTTCATTACCATAGCCAGTGATTATCTTACTGTTGATCCTATAGAAAGTAGGTCCTCTGTGAGCTGAGCTAGCAACCCTCTGACATCCTGTGGCTAACGAGCTCTCCTGAGATTGGTTTTTCTGCAGCTACACACAACACACACACACACACACACACACACAACACACACTGTAGATTATAGAATGTATACCTCAGGACTTTCCATTGATGCCTAACAACATACCCCCCCCCCCCCCCCCCCCCACCACCGCCACATAGCGAGCTAAATATTTTAGGTGCCCCCCTTTTGACAGGGGATAACCATTGTTTAACGTTTTAGAGTTGATTTCGTGCAATTCTACACATTTTGCCATGTTACTGAAGGGAGGTAAGAACAATGTGTGTAATGTATGAACTGAGATCGATAAGTTAACTTGTGTGTCAACCCACATTGCTAACGGACCTGAAAACGGAGCAGGGAGGTGGAGGTGAGTGTGTGTGTGGGTGTGTTAGCTTACCAAATGCTGCCCGTGGCCAGTGATCCACCTTTGCAATTGTATAACTAATGTCATGTAATTTTACTCATTTTGCTATGGGGCGGAGATGAAAATGTGCTGTTTTCCAGCTAATTTCCTGCAAGTCTAAATATTTTGCCATAGGGTGGAGAGAAATGTTTGCAGTATTCTACAGTTGAAGTTTACATACACCTTAGCCAAATACATTTAAACTCAGTTTTTCACAATTCCTGACATTTAATCCTAGTAAAAATTCCCTGTCTTAGGTCAGTTAGGATCACCACTTTATTTTAAGAATGTGAAATGTCAGAATAATAGTAGATAGAATGATTTATTTCAGCTTTTATTTCTTTCATCACATTCCCAGTGGGTCAGAAGTTTACATACACTCAATTAGTATTTTGGTAGCATTGCCTTTGAATTGTTTAACTTGCGTCAAACGTTTCGGGTAGCCTTCCACAAGCTTCCCACAATAAGTTGGGTGAATTTTGGCCCATTCCTCCTGACAGAGCTGGTGTATCTGAGTCAGGTTTGTAGGCCTCCTTGCTCGCACACGCTTTTTCAGTTCTGCCCACAAATGTTCAATAGGATTGAGGTCGGGGCTTTGTGATGGCCACTCCAATACCTTGACACTGTTGTCCTTAAGCCATTTTGCCACAACTTTGGAAGTATGCTTGGGGTCATTGTCCATTTGGAAGACCCATTTGCGACCAAGCTTTAACTTCCTGACTGATGTCTTGAGATGTTGCTTCAATATATCCACATAATTTTCCTTCCTCATGATGCCATCTATTTTGTGAAGTGCACCAGTTCCTCCTGCAGCAAAGCACCCCACAGCATGATGCTGCCACCCCCGTGCTTCACGGTTGGGATGGTGTTCTTCGGCTTGCAAGCTACCCCCTTTTTCCTCCAAACATAACGATGGTATTTATGGCCAAACAGTTCTATTTTTGTTTCATCAGACCAGAGGATATTTCTCCAAAAAGTACAATACTTGTCCCCATGTGCAGTTGCAAACCGTAGTCTGTCTTTTTTATGGCGGTTTTGGAGCATTGGCTTCTTCCTTGCTGAGCAGCCTTTCAGGTTATGTCGATATAGGACTCGTTTTACTGTGGATATAGATACTTTTGTACCTGTTTCCTCCAGCATCTTCACAAGGTCCTTTGCTGTTGTTCTGGGATTGATTTGCACTTTTCGCACCAAAGTACGTTCATCTCTAGGAGAACGCGTCTCCTTCCTGAGCGGTATAACGGCTGCGTGGTCCCATGGTGTTTATACTTGCGTACTATTGTTTGTACAGATGAACGTGGTAACTTCAGGCGTTTGGAAATTGCTCCCAAGGATGAACCAGACTTGTTGAGGTCTAGAATTTTTTTGCTGAGGTCTTGGCTGATTTCTTTTGATTTTCCCATGATGTCAAGCAAAGAGGCACTGAGTTTGAAGGTAGGCCTTGAAATACATTCACAAATACACCTCCAATTGACTCAAATCATGTCAATTAGCCTATAAGAAGCGTCTAATGCCATGACATCATTTTCTGGAATTTTCCAAGCTGTTTAAAGGCAAAGTCTACTTAGTGTATGTAAACTTCTGACCCACTGGAATTGTGATACAGTGAATTATAAGTGAAATAATCTGTCTGTAAACAATTGTTGGAAAAATTACTTGTGTCATGCACAAAGTAGATGTCCTAACCGACTTGCCAAAACTATAGTTTGTTAACAAGAAATTTGTGGAGTGGTTGAAAAAACGAGTTTTAATGACTCCAACCTAAGTGTATGTAAACTTCCGACTTCAACTCTATATGATATCTAAGTGAGACTGACTAACAAAATCAATGGGGGCCCCTGGCTGGACCATGATTACTACGTTTAGATAGCTGGGCACTGTTAGCTGACATGGACTAGCTGAGTACCAATCTGTTAGCTGACATGGACTAGCTGAGTACCAATCTGTTAGCTGACATGGACTAGCTGAGTACCAATCTGTTAGCTGACATGGACTAACTGAGTACCAATCTGTTAGCTGACATGGACTAACTGAGTACCAATCTGTTAGCTGACATGGACTAGCTGAGTACCAATCTGTTAGCTGACATGGACTAGCTGAGTACCAATCTGTTAGCTGACATGGACTAGCTGAGTACCAATCTGTTAGCTGACATGGACTAGCTGAGTACCAATCTGTTAGCTGACATGGACTAGCTGAGTACCAATCTGTTAGCTGACATGGACTAGCTGAGTACCAATCTGTTAGCTGACATGGACTAACTGAGTACCAATCTGTTAGCTGACATGGACTAACTGAGTACCAATCTGTTAGCTGACATGGACTAGCTGAGTACCAATCTGTTAGCTGACATGGACTAACTGAGTACCAATCTGTTAGCTGACATGGACTAACTGAGTACCAATCTGTTAGCTGACATGGACTAGGTGAGTACCAATCTGTTAGCTGACATGGACTAACTGAGAGTACCAATCTGTTAGCTGACATGGACTAACTGAGTACCAATCTGTTTAGCTGACATAGGACTAACTGAGTACCAATCTGTTAGCTGACATGGACTAACTGAGTACCAATCTGTTAGCTGACATGGACTAACTGAGTACCAATCTGTTAGCTGACATGGACTAACTGAGTACCAATCTGTTAGCTGACATGGACTAGCTGAGTACCAATCTGTTAGCTGACATGGACTAGCTGAGTTACCAATCTGTTAGCTGACATGGACTAGCTGAGTACCAATCTGTTAGCTGACATGGACTAAGGTGAGTACCAATCTGTTAGCTGACATGGACTAACTGAGTACCAATCTGTTAGCTGACATGGACTACACTGAGTACCAATCTGTTAGCTGACATGGACTAACTGAGTACCAATCTGTTAGCTGACATGGACTAACTGAGTACCAATCTGTTAGCTGACATGGACTAGCTGAGTACCAATCTGTTAGCTGACATGGACTAACTGAGTACCAATCTGTTAGCTGACATGGACTAACTGAGTACCAATCTGTTAGCTGACATAGACTAACTGAGTACCAATCTGTTAGCTGACATAGACTAACTGAGTACCAATCTGTTAGCTGACATGGACTATAGGTGAGTCCAATCTGTTAGCTGACATGGACTAACTGAGTTACCAATCTGTTAGCTGACATGGACTAACTGAGTACCAATCTGTTAGCTGACATAGACTAACTGAGTACCAATCTGTTAGCTGACATGGACTAGGTGAGTACCAATCTGTTAGCTGACATGGAAAAACTGAGTACCAATCTGTTAGCTGACATGGACTAACTGAGTACCAATCTGTTAGCTGACATAGACTAACTGAGTACCAATCTGTTAGCTGACATGGACTAGGTGAGTACCAATCTGTTAGCTGACATGGACTAACTGAGTACCAATCTGTTAGCTGACATGGACTAACTGAGTACCAATCTGTTAGCTGACATGGACTAACTGAGTACCAATCTGTTAGCTGACATGGACTAACTGAGTTACCAATCGGCTGACTTGATCTGACATCTGATGACTTAACTGAGTACCAATCTGTTAGCTGACATGACTAACTGAGTACCAATCTGTTAGCTGACATGGACTAGGTGAGTACCAATCTGTTAGCTGACATGGACTAACTGAGTACCAATCTGTTAGCTGACATGGACTAACTGAGTATCATCTGTACTAGTGAACTGATGATATAACTTTAAGTTACCTTGTAGCTACTTGACTAACTGATACGCAACAGTTTTCAGCGTGACTTTGGCTAATAAGTACAATCTGTCTTAGTACTGACAGTACTATAGTACTGTAGCATAGTCTATAGTACTGACAGTAGCTATAGTACTGAGCGCAAGTCTATATACTGTACGCATAGTCTACTAGACTGTAACAATCTTAGCTACTGTAGCAGTGCAGTACTATATACTGTAGCAGCAGTGTCTATAGTACTGTAGCCATAGTCTATTACGTGTACATTGGCTATACTGAGTACATAGTCTGGTTAGCTGTAGCAGTAGTCTAAGTACTGTAGCGGCATATCTATAGTACTGACAGTAGCTAGTGTGCAGTATCTATAGTACTTAGCGTAGTCATAGTACTAGGCTACATAGTACTGTAGCGTAGTCTATAGTACTGTACAGCAGTAGTCTATAGTACTGTACAGCTAGTAGTACAATCATAGTACTTGAGCATAGTGACTATAGTACTGTAGCCAGTAGTCTATAGTACTAGCAGGCAGTAGTCTATGTACTGAGTAGCAGTAGTCTATAGTACTGTCAGCAGTATCTATGTATGTGCAGCTAAGCTAAGTACTGTAGCAAGTAGTCTATAGTACTTAGCAGCAGTAGTCTATAGTACTGTAGCAGTAGTAGTACTATATACCCGTCAGCAGTAGTCTATAGTACTGTAGCAGCAGTAGTCTATAGTACTGGACAGGTAGTCTATAGTACTGTAGCAGTTAGTCTATAGTACTGTAGCAGGCAGTAGTCTATAGTACTGTCAGCAGTAGTCTATAGTACGTAGCAGAGTCATAGTCTTAGATAGCAGTAGTCTATAGTACTGTACAGCAGTAGTCTATAGTACTGTAGCAGCAGTAGTCTATAGTACTGTACATAGCAAGACTCGGGGTAGTCTATAGTACTGTAGCGCAGTAGTCTATGTACTGTAGCAGTAGTCTAAAAGTACTGTAGCAGAGTAGTCTATAGTACTGTAGCAGGCAGTAGTCTATAGTACTGTAGCAGTAGTCTATAGTACTGTAGCAGTAGTCTATAGTACTGTAGCAGGCAGTAGTCTATAGTACTGTAGCAGGCAGTAGTCTATAGTACTGTAGCAGGCAGTAGTCTATAGTACTGTAGCAGCAGTAGTCTATAGTACTGTAGCAGGCAGTAGTCTATAGTACTGTAGCAGGCAGTAGTCTATAGTACTGTAGCAGTAGTCTATAGTACTGTAGCAGTAGTCTATAGTTCTGTAGCAGTAGTCTATAGTACTGTAGCAGTAGTCTATAGTACTGTAGCAGTAGTCTATAGTACTGAGCAGTATCTATAGTACTGTAGGGAGTAGTCTATAGTACTGTAGCAGTAGTCTATAGTACTGTAGCAGAGTCAGTAGTCTGATCAGTAGTCTGATAGTACAGCAGTAGTCTATAGTACTGTAAGCAGTAGTCTATAGTACTGTAGCAGCAGTAGTCTATAGTACTGTAGCAGAGTGTCTATAGTACTGTAAGCAGTAGTCTATAGTACTGTAGCAGCATAGTCTATAGTACTGTAGCAGCAGTAGTCTATAGTACTGTAGCGAGTCTAGTCTATAGTAACTGTAGGGCAGTAGTCTATGTACTGTAGCAGTAGTCTATGTACTGTAAAGCAGGCAGTAGTCTATATGACTGTAGCAGTAGTCTTATAGTACAGCTGATAGCTAGAGTCTATAGAACTGTAGTCAGGCAGTAAGTCGTAATAGACTGTAGCTAGGTCGTAGTGAGAGTCTAGTAGTACTGTAGTACTATAGTGAGAGTCTGTAGTACTGATAGTCGTAGTACGAGTAGTCTGTAGTACTGAGAGTCTGTAGTACTGAGAGTCTGTATAGTAGGTCTGTATAGTGAGAGCTGTAAGTAGAGAGTCTGTATATAGTATCTGTAGTAGCTGAGTTAGTCTGTATAGTGAGAGTCTGTAGTAGGTCAGTAAGTCTGATATGAGTCTGTAAGAAGTCTGATAGTGAAGTCTGTAGTATGAGAGTCTGTATGTGAAGTCTGTAGTAGAGAGTCTGTATAGTGATCTGTATATGTAAGTTTAGACTTATAGTCTGTATAGTGAGAGTCTGTAGTACTGAGAGTCGTATAGTGAGAGTCTGTAGTAGAGTCTGTAGTACTGAGAGTCTGTATAGTGGAGTCTGTAGTACTGAGAGTCTGTAGTACTGAGTAGTCTGTATAGTGGAGTCTGTATAGTGAGAGTCTGTATAGTGAGAGTCTGTATAGTGAGAGTCTGTAGTACTGAGAGGTCTGTAGTACTATAGTATCTGTATAGGAAGTCTGTATAGTGAGAGTCTGTTAGTGAAGTCTTATAGTGAGAGTCTGTATGAGGTCGTAGATATGTAGTACTGAGAGTCTGTATAGTGAGGAGTCTGTATAGTGAGAGTCTGTAGTAGTGAGAGTCTGTATAGTGAGAGTCTGTAGTATGAGGCCTGTAGTACTGAGAGTCTTATAGTGAGAGTCTGTATAGTGAGAGTCTGTATGTGAGAGTCTGTATATGAGAGTCTGTAGTACTGAGAGTCTGTAATGTGCTGAAGTACTGTAAGTAGTGAGAGTCTGTATAGTGAGAGTCTGTGTATGAGAGTCTGTATAGTGAGAGTCTGTAGTATGAGAGTCTGTATGTAGAGCTTAAGAGTCTGTATAGTGAGCTGTATAGTGAGAGTCTGTAGTACTGAGAGTCTGTATAGTGAGAGTCTGTAGAGGCTAGAGTCTGTAGTATGAGAGTCTGTATAGTGAGTCGTATATAGAGCTGTATATGAGAGTCTGTTAGTGAGAGTCTGTATAGTGAGAGTCTGTAGTAGTGAGAGTCTGTAGTAGTGGAGTCTGTAGTACTGAGAGTCTGTAGTATGAGAGTCTGTATAGTGAGAGTCTGTAGTATCTGTGAGAGTCTGTAGTACTGAGAGTCTGTATAGTGAGAGTCTGTAGTACTGAGAGTCTGTATAGTGAGAGTCTGTATAGTGAGAGTCTGTAGTAAGTCTGAGAGTCTGTATATGAGAGTCTGTAGTACTGAGAGTCTTGTAGTCTGAGGGTTGTATAGTGAGAGTCTGTAGTAGTGAGGTCTGATAGTGAGAGTCTGTAGTATGAGAGTCTGTATACTGAGAGTCTGTATAGTGAGAGTCTGTAGTACTGAGAGTCTGTATAGTGAGAGAGTCTGTAGTATGAGAGTCTGTATATGAGAGTCTGTATAGTGAGAGTCTGTATAGTGAGAGTCTGTAGTACTGAGAGTCTGTAGTACTGAGAGTCTGTATAGTGAGAGTCTGTATAGTGAGAGTCTGTATAGTGAGAGTCTGTAGTACTGAGAGTCTGTATGTGAGAGTCTGTATAGTGAGAGTCTGTATAGTGAGAGTCTGTAGTACTGAGAGTCTGTATAGTGAGAGTCTGTATAGTGAGAGTCTGTATAGTGAGAGTCTGTATAGTGAGAGTTCTGTAGTACTGAGAGTCTGTATAGTGAGAGTCTGTATATGAGAGTCTGTATAGTGAGAGTCTGTATAGTGAGAGTCTGTAGTACTGAGAGTCTGTATAGTGAGAGTCTGTATAGTGAGAGTCTGTATAGTGAGAGTCTGTATAGTGAGAGTCTGTATAGTGAGAGTCTGTATAGTGAGAGTCTGTATAGTGAGAGTCTGTATAGTGAGAGTCTTGTATATGAGAGTCTGTATAGTGAGAGTCTGTTAGTGATCTGTAGTAGAGTCTGTATAGTGAGAGTCTGTAGTATGAGAGTCTGTAGTACTGAGAGTCTGTATAGTGAGAGTCTGTATATGAGAGTCTGTAATAGTGAGAAGTCTGTATAGTGAGAGTCTGTAGTACTGAGAGTCTGTATAGTGAGAGTCTGTATAGTGAGAGTCTGTATAGTGAGAGTCTGTAGTACTGAGAGTCTGTATAGTGAGAGTCTGTAGTACTGAGAGTCTGTAGTACTGAGAGTCTGTATAGTGAGAGTCTGTATAGTGAGAGTCTGTATAGTGAGAGTCTGTATAGTGAGAGTCTGTATAGTGAGAGTCTGTAGTACTGAGAGTCTGTATAGTGAGAGTCTGTATAGTGAGAGTCTGTATAGTGAGAGTCTGTATACTGAGAGTCTGTTAGTGAGATCGTAGTGAGAGCTTTGATCATGTAGTTGTTAGTGAGAGTCTGTAGTAGTGTAGAGTCTTAGTAGATTGTAGTGAGAGTCTGTGTAGTGAGAGTCTGTAGTAGTGAGAGTCTGTATACTGAGAGTCTGTAGTAGTGAGAGTCTGTATAGTGAGAGTCTGTATACTGAGAGTCTGTATAGTGAGAGTCTGTATAGTGAGAGAGTCTGTATAGTGAGAGTCTGTATAGTGAGAGTCTGTAGTAGTGAGAGTCTGTATAGTGAGATGATCTAGTTTAGTGAGAGTCTGTATAGTGAGAGTCTGTAGTAGTGAGAGTCTGTATAGTGAGAGTCTGTATAGTGAGAGTCTGTATATGAGAGTCTGTATAGTGAGAGTCTGTAGTATGAGAGTCTGTATAGTGAGAGTCTGTATAGTGAGAGTCTGTAGTACTGAGAGTCTGTATAGTGAGAGTCTGTAGTACTGAGAGTCTGTATAGTGAGAGTCTGTATAGTGAGAGTCTGTATAGTGAGAGTCTGTGTAGTGAGAGTCTGTAGTACTGAGAGTCTGTATAGTGAGAGTCTGTAGTGAGGTCTGTAGTGAGAGTCTGTATAGTGAGAGTCTGTAGTACTGAGAGTCTGTATAGTGAGAGTCTGTAGTAGCTGAGAGTCTGTATAGCTGAGTGATTGTAGTGAAGTCTGTAGTACTGAGAGTCTGTGTAGTGAGTCTGTTGATGAGTCTGTATAGTGAGAGTCTGTATAGTGAGAGTCGTGTAGTAGTGAGAGTCTGTTAGTCTGAGAGTCTGTAGTTGAAGCTGAGAGAGTCTGTTATGAGATGTAGTGAGAGTCTGTATAGTGAGAGTCTGTAGTACTGAGAGTCTGTATATGAGAGTCGATGGGTCGTATAGTGAGAGTCTGTATAGTGAGAGTCTGTATAGTGAGAGTCTGTATACTGAGAGTCTGTAGTACTGAGAGTCTGTATAGCTTGAGAGCTGTATAGTGAGAGTCTGTATAGTGAGAGTCTGTATAGTGAGAGTCTGTATATGAGAGTCTGTATAGTAGAGTCTGTATAGTGAAGTTGTATAGTGAGGTCTGTATAGTGAGAGTCTGTATACTGAGAGTCTGTATATGGAGAGTCTTAGTAATTAAGTGAGAGTCTGTGAGTAGTCTTGAAGTGAGTCTGTATAGTGAGAGTCTGTATAGTGAGAGTCTGTTGTGAGAGTGAAGTCTGTATGGGGTCTGTAGTAGTGAGAGTTGCTGTCTAGTGAGAGTCTGTATAGTGAGAGTCTGTAGTGAGAGTCTGTATAGTGAGAGTCTGTATAGTGAGAGTCTGTATAGTGAGAGTCTGTAGTACTGAGAGTCTGTATAGTGAGAGTCTGTGTATGAGAGTCGTTAGTGAGAGTCTGTATATGAGAGTCTGTATACTGAGAGTCTGTATAGTGAGAGTCTGTATAGTGAGAGTCTGTATATGAGAGTCTGTAGTACTGAGAGTCTGTATAGTGAGAGTCTGTATAGTGAGAGTCTGTAATGAAGTCTGTTAGTGGAGTCTGTAGTCTGAGAGTCTGTATGAGAGTCTGTAGTAGTGAGAGTCTGTATAGTGAGAGTCTGTATATGAGAGTCTGTATAGTGAGAGTCTGTATATGAGAGTCTGTATACTGAGAGTCTGTATAGTGAGAGTCTGTATAGTGAGAGTCTGTATAGTGAGAGTCTGTAGTACTGAGAGTCTGTATAGTGAGAGTCTGTAGTAGTGAGAGTCTGTATAGTGAGAGTCTGTAGTACTGAGAGTCTGTATAGTGAGAGTCTGTAAGTAGCTGTTAGTGAGTCTGTATAGTGAGAGTCTGTATAGTGAGAGTCTGTATAGTGAGAGTCTGTATAGTGAGAGTCTGTGTAGTGAGAGTCTGTATAGTGAGAGTCTGTAGTACTGAGAGTCTGTATAGATGAAGTATGTGTAGTGAGAGTCTGTGTAGTGAGAGTCTGTGTAGTGAGAGTCTGTGTAGTGAGAGTCTGTATAGTGAGAGTCTGTATAGTGAGAGTCTGTAGTACTGAGAGTCTGTAGTACTGAGAGTCTGTAGTACTGAGAGTCTGTATAGTGAGAGTCTGTAGTACTGAGAGTCTGTTAGTGAGAGTAGTTAGTGAGAGTCTGTTGTAGTGAGAGTCTGTAGTACTGAGAGTCTTAGTACTGAGAGTCTGTATAGTGAGAGTCTGTATAGTGAGAGTCTGTATAGTGAAGTCTGTATAGTGAGAGTCTGTATACTGAGAGTCTGTTAGTGAGAGTCTGTTAGTGAGAGTCTGTATAGTGAGAGTCTGTATAGTGAGAGTCTGTGGTATGTGAGAGTCTGTATAGTGGAGTCTGTAGTACTAGGTCTGTATAGTGAGAGTCTGTATAGTGAGAGTCTGTATAGTGAGAGTCTGTATAGTGAGAGTCTGTATAGTGAGAGTCTGTAGTACTGAGAGTCTGTATAGTGAGAGTCTGTATAGTGAGAGTCTGTATAGTGAGAGTCTGTATAGTGAAGTCTGTTAGTGAGAGTCTGTATAGTGAGAGTCTGTATAGTGAGCGAGAGTCTGTATTGAGAGTCTGTATAGTGAGTCTGTATAGTGAGAGTCTGTATATGAGAGTCTGTATAGTGAGAGTCTGTAGTACGTGAGAGTCTGTATAGTGAGAGTCTGTATATGAGAGTCTGTATAGTGAGAGTCTGTAGTTGAGAGTCTGTAGTACTGAGAGTCTGTATAGTGAGAGTCTGTATAGTGGGTTGTAGTAGGAGTCTGTAGTACTGAGAGTCTGTATAGTGAGAGTCTGTATAGTGAGAGTCTGTAAGTGAGAGTCTGTAGTACGTGAGAGTCTGTATAGTGAGAGTCTGTATAGTGAGAGTCTGTATAGTGAGAGTCTGTATAGTGAGAGTCTGTATAGTGAGAGTCTGTATAGTGAGAGTCTGTATAGTGAGAGTCTGTATAGTGAGAGTCTGTAGTAGTGTATACTGCTCGCATGCTCTCCTGTCTTCCTGTTCTGTGTCAGATGTCTTCCTGTTCTGTGTCAGATGTCTTCCTGTGTCAGATGTCTTCCTGTCCTGTGTCATATTGTGAACACCATTCTTCAGATTGAATCAATTGAACACAGAAAAAGATACAGTGACTTTTTGGATGAAACTATATTTATTTCACAGGCGTCCTTCTTTTTAACAATGTATTTTCATATTGTCATAATGTATGACACAGCGTTGGTGTAGATTATAGTTAATGTTCCCCTGCATCCCAGTTGGCCCCCTATTTCCGAAATAGTGCTCTGCTTTGGCCAGTAGTTTCATTATATAGGAAATAGGGTGCCAACTGGGATGTTCTAGTGCATCCTGTGAGACGTAATCTTTTCTTTGCTCTGTTTCCAGTTTATTTCTATAACTTTGGCTGGAAGGACTACGGCGTGGCGTCCCTAACAACTATACTGGACATGGTCAAGGTGATGTCTTTCGCCGTCCAGGAGGGAAAGATGGCCGTGCATTGTCACGCCGGCCTAGGGAGAACAGGTACATCAAATCTACCCAATCATAACATCACACAACCTATAAAGTCACATGGCTGGGCAGAACAGGACAGGAACATTATAAGGGCTTGGGAGGACAGGTACAGGACAGGTACGTTATAATAGGCTGGGGATGGCAGGTACAGGACAGGTACGTTATAATAGGCTGGGGATGGCAGGTACAGGACAGGTACGTTATAATAGGCTGGGGATGGCAGGTACAGGACAGGTACAGGACAGGTACGTTATAATAGGCTGGGGATGGCAGGTACAGGACAGGTACAGGACAGGTACGTTATAATAGGCTGGGGATGGCAGGTACAGGACAGGTACATTATAATAGGCTGGGGATGGCAGGTTGTGTAAACCATCATTTAATCAAATGGTTTATTTTGTAGCTCTGAGTCTCTACTTTTATCCAATGTAAAAAACATAATTTCAAATTTGGCTACATAAGACCAAATCAATGCTGTCGGTCACATTTGATTAGTAGTAGATTTGTTCTAAGCATGTTACTACTAATAATTAGTGCCTTGCTCAAGGGCACATTGGCATATTCTTCATGTTGTTGGCTCTGGCATTCGAACTAGTGACCTTTCGGTGACTGGCCCAACGCTCTTTACCGCTAGGCTATCTGCCGCACTACGGCTACAAGCATGTCCCTGGTTGAGTTCTAGGTGTGTTACTCTGTTTACCAGGTGTGTTACTGTGTTTACCAGGTGTGTTACTGTGTTTACCAGGTGTGTTACTGTGTTTACCAGGTGTGTTACTGTGTTTACCAGGTGTGTTACTGTGTTTACCAGGTGTGTAACTGTGTTTACCAGGTGTGTTACTGTGTTTACCAGGTGTGTTACTGTGTTTACCAGGTGTGTTGTGTACTGTGGTTTTACCGTTGTATGTGTGGTTAACTGTGTTTACCAGGTGTGTTACTGTGTTTACCAGGTGTGTTAACTGTGTTTACCAGGTGTGTTACTGTGTTTACCAGGTGTGTTACTGTGTTTACCAGGTGTGTTACTGTGTTTACCAGGTGTGTAACTGTGTTTACCAGGTGTGTTACTGTGTTTACCAGGTGTGTTACTGTGTTTACCTGGTGTGTTACTGTGTTTACCGGTGTTGTACTTTTACCTGGTGTGTACTGTGTTTACCGGTGTGTTACTGTGTTTACCAGGTGTGTTACTGTGTTTACCTGGTGTGTTACTGTGTTTACCAGGTGTGTTACTGTGTTTACCAGGTGTGTTACTGTGTTTACCGGTGTGTTACCTGTGGTTTACCGGTGTGTACTGTGTTACCTGGTGTGTACTGGTACCAGGTGTTTACTGTGTTTACCAGGTGTGTACTGTTACTGTGTTTTTACCAGGTGTGTTACTGTGTTTACCAGGTGTGTTACTGTATGTTACCAGGTGTGTTACTGTGTTTACCAGGTGTGTTAACTGTGTGTTACCATGTGTTTGTGTGTGTTTACCAGGTGTACTGTGTTACCAGGTGTGTTACTGTTACCATGGTGTTACTGTGTTTACCGGTGTGTTACTGTGTTTACCAGGTGTGTAATGTGGTACCAGGTGTGTTACTGTGTTTACCAGGTGTTATGTGTTTACCAGGTGTGTTTATGGTACCAGGTGTGTTAACTGGTGTGTTACTGTGTTTACCAGGTGTTCTGTGTTTACCAGTGTGTTATGGTGGTTACTGTGTTTACCAGGTGTTTCTGTGTTTACCTGGTGTGTTTCTGTGTTTACCAGGTGTTTCTGTGTTTACCAGGTGTGTAAATGTGTTTACCAGGTGTGTTACTGTGTTTACCTGGCGTGTTACTGTGTTTACCAGGTGTGTAAATGTGTTTACCAGGTGTGTAAATGTGTTTACCAGGTGTGTTACTGTGTTTACCTGGCGTGTTACTGTGTTTACCTGGCGTGTTTCTATGTTAACCAGGTGTGTTAATGGTGTGTTACTGTGTTTACCAGGTGTTTCTGTGTTTACCAGGTGTGTAAATGTGTTTACCAGGTGTGTTACTCTGTTTACCAGGTGTGTTACTGTGTTTACCAGGTGTTTCTGTGTTTACCAGGTGTGTAAATGTGTTTACCAGGTGTGTAAATGTGTTTACCAGGTGTGTTACTGTGTTTACCTGGCGTGTTACTTTGTTTACCTGGCGTGTTTCTATGTTAACCAGGTGTGTTAATGGTGTGTTACTGTGTTTACCAGGTGTTTCTGTGTTTACCAGTTGTGTAAATGTGTTTACCACGTGTGTTACTGTGTTTACCAGGTGTGTTACTGTGAGACATGCAATTCAGGTGTTACTGCGTTTACCTGGTGTGTTACTGTGTTTACCAGGTGTGTAAATGTGGGTACCAGGTGTGTTACTGTGTTTACCTGGCGTGTTATTGTGTTTACCAGGTGTGTTTCTATGGTAACCAGGTGTGTTAATGGTGTGTTACTGTGTTTACCAGGTGTTTCTGTGTTTACCAGGTGTGTTAATGGTGTGTTACTGTGTTTACCAGGTGTTTCTGTGTTTACCAGGTGTGTTTCTGTGTTTACCAGGTGTTTCTGTGTTTACCAGGTGTGTAAATGTGTTTACCAGGTGTGTTACTGTGTTTACCAGGTGTGTTACTGTGTTTACCAGGTGTGTAAATGTGTTTACCAGGTGTGTAAATGTGTTTACCAGGTGTGTTACTGTGTTTACCTGGCGTGTTACTGTGTTTACCTGGCGTGTTTCTATGTTAACCAGGTGTGTTAATGGTGTGTTACTGTGTTTACCAGGTGTTTCTGTGTTTACCAGGTGTGTAAATGTGTTTACCAGGTGTGTTACTCTGTTTACCAGGTGTGTTACTGTGTTTACCAGGTGTTTCTGTGTTTACCAGGTGTGTTACTGTGTTTACCAGGTGTGTTACTGTGAGACATGCAATTCAGGTGTTACTGTGTTTACCTGATGTGTTACTGTGTTTAACAGGTGTTTAAATGTGTTTACCAGGTGTGTAAATGTGTTTACCAGGTGTGTTACTGTGTTTACCTGATGTGTTACTGTGTTTACCAGGTGTGTAAATGTGTTTACCAGGTGTGTAAATGTGTTTACCAGGTGTGTTACTGTGTTTACCTGGCGTGTTACTGTGTTAACCAGGTGTGTTAATGGTGTGTTACTGTGTTTACCAGGTGTTTCTGTGTTTAGCAGGTGTGTTACTCTGTTTACCAGGTGTTTCTGTGTTTACCAGGTGTGTTACTGGCGTGTTATCTGGTGTTCACCTCTCGTATGAGTGCGGACCAGGCCATCCTGTTCGTCAGAGCCAAGCGGCCCAACTCCATCCAGACCCGAGGCCAGCTGCTGTGTGTCCGGGAGTTCGCCCAGTTCCTGGTTCCGTTGAGGAACGTGTTCTCCTGCGCAGAACCCCGGGCCAACGCCGTTACGCTGTCCCAGTACCTGACTCGCCAGCGCCACCTGCTGCACGGGTACGAGGCGCGGCAGATGAAGAACGTGCCAAAGATCGTCCAGCTGATCTGCAAGGTCCTCCTGGACATCGCTGCCAACAGACAGGTAATACATTATCATGGTATAGACAGGTAAGAATACATTATCATGGTATAGACAGGTAATAATACATTATCATGATATAGACAGGTAATAATACATTATCATGGTATTATGGACAGGTAATAATACATTATCATGGTATAGACAGGTAATAATACATTATCATGGTATTATGGACAGGTAATAATACATTATCATGGTATAGACAGGTAATAATACATTATCATGGTATAGACGGGTAAAAATACATTATTATGGTAAAGACAGGTAATAATACATTATCATGGTATGGACAGGTAATAATACATTATCATGGTATGGACAGGTAATACATTATCATGGTATAGACAGGTAATAATACATTATCATGGTATAGACAGGTAATAATACATTATCATGGTATAGACGTGTAATAATACATTATTATGGTATAGACGGGTAATAATACATTATCATGGTATGGACGGGTAATAATACATTATTGTGGTATAGACAGGTAATAATACATTATCGTGGTATAGACAGGTAATAATACATTATCGTGGTATAGACATGTAATTATACATTATCATGGTATAGACGGGTAATAATACATTATCATGATATAGACCGGTAATAATACATTATCATGTTATAGACAGGTAATAATACATTATCATGGTATAGACAGGTAATAATACATTATCATGGTATAGACAGGTAATAATACACTATCATGGTATAGACAGGTAATAATACATTATCATGGTATAGACCGGTAATAATACATTATCATGGTATAGACAGGTAATAATACATTATCATGGTATAGACAGGTAATAATACATTATCATGGTATAGACAGGTAATAATACACTATCATGGTATAGACAGGTAATAATACACTATCATGGTATAGACAGGTAATAATACATTATCATGGTATTATGGACAGGTAATAATACATTATCATGGTATAGACAGGTAATAATACATTATCACGGTATAGACAGGTAATAATACATTATCATGGTATAGACAGGTAATAATACATTATCATGGTATAGACAGGTAATAATACACTATCATGGTATAGACAGGTAATAATACACTTTATGGTATAGACAGGTAATAATACATTATCATGGTATAGACAGGTAATAATACACTATCATGGTATAGACAGGTAATAATACATTATCATGGTATAGACAGGTAATAATACACTATCGTGGTATAGACAGGTAATAATACATTATCATGGTATAGAAAGGTAATAATACATTATGGTATTATGGACAGGTAATAATACATTATCGTGGTATAGACAGGTAATAATACATTATCATGGTATAAACAGGTAAGAATACATTATCATGGTATTTTGGACAGGTAATAATACATTATCATGGTATAGACAGGTAATAATACATTATCATGGTATTATGGACAGGTAATAATACATTATTATGGTATTATGGACAGGTAATAATACATTATTATGGTATTATGGACAGGTAATAATACATTATTATGGTATTATGGACAGGTAAAACATAAACTAATACTAAAGATGCCGATTGATTGGTTGTTGATGTTATTGAAGGTGGTGGAGGTTCCAGACCTAACTGTTGATGATGATGTTATTGAAGGTGGTGGAGGTTCCAGACCTAACTGTTGATGATGATGTTATTGAAGGTGGTGGAGGATCCAGACCTAACTGTTGATAATGATGTTATTGAAGGTGGTGGAGGATCCAGACCTAACTGTTGATGATGATGTTATTGAAGGTGGTGGAGGAGGTGGTGGTGGAGGAGGAGGTGGTGGAGGTTCCAGACCTAACTGTTGATGATGATGTTATTGAAGGTGGTGGAGGAGGTGGTGGTGGAGGAGGAGGTGGTGGAGGATCCAGACCTAACTGTTGATGATGATGTTATTGAAGGTGGTGGAGGAGGAGGTGGTGGAGGATCCAGACCTAACTGTTGATGATGATGTTATTGAAGGTGGTGGTGGAGGAGGAGGTGGTGGAGGAGGAGGTGGTGGAGGATCCAGACCTAACTGTTGATAATGATGTTATTGAAGGTGGTGGAGGATCCAGACCTAACTGTTGATGATGATGTTATTGAAGGTGGTGGAGGTTCCAGACCTAACTGTTGATAATGATGTTATTGAAGGTGGTGGAGGTTCCAGACCTAACTGTTGATGATGATGTTATTGAAGGTGGTGGTGGAGGAGGAGGTGGTGGAGGTTCCAGACCTGACGGCTGAGGTGGAGAAGACAGTGTCCCAGCAGGCCATCCAGCTGCTGGGGAAGGAGATGAGAGGGAAGGGCATCCCTGTGCCTTCACCCTGCCAGCCTGGTCCCCAACCTGAGACAGCCCTAACCCACACACTACACATGGAACGACTTCTCACTCCAAACCTAGTACTACTCCAGGAACCATCGCTACTCCTAGACCCCTCTCTCAGCCCAACCCTGGCCCAGGAACCATCGCTACTCCTAGATCCCTCTCTCAGCCCAGCCCTGGCCCAGGAACCATCGCTACTCCTAGACCCCTCTCTCAGCCCAGCCCTGGCCCAGGAACCATCGCTACTCCTAGACCCCTCTCTCAGCCCAGCCCTGGCCCACCACCGAGTTCTGTGGAGCAACCAGGAGCTGGACCCTCTGTGGCAGCGGCAGAACAGGGTGGCAGCCTCCCTACTGAAGCCTCTGCAGCCGGGGAAACGATTGCTGAGCTACAGCGACTCAGCCCTGTATAAGCTAGACCCCAGACGAGACCCGGACCGGGAGCAGAACCAGGTCTGGAGCATCCCTCGCTGCAGCCCTCTGACCCAGCCCCAGCACCACCTAGCCTTAGCCTGGGATTCCCCCAGGTCCCCTAGCCTCCCTCCACAGCACCACCCCTTCTCCGTGGGAGAGCAGACGAGGGAGGAAAGGCGAGGAGGACAGGACAGGAGTTCTGAGGAGAAGGATCACCACCTGACCCAGAAGAACACGTCTCCTCTGTTCCAGAGGCGGGCGCAGCTCTGTGAGGGCAAGCGAAGTCTGTCCTTTGGGTTTGGGGATAGTCTGTCCAAGCCTTTAGGAGAAGAGCTGTCAGAGGGGAGGCCGTGGAGAGGAGATATGCCTGTGATGAGCCCTACAGGAGGAGAGGAATCTGTGTGTGGGATAGACAGGGCTGGAGACAGGGCTGGAGACAGAGAGGAACGGGAGGACAGAGAGGAACGGGAGGACAGAGAGAACGGAGAGGACAGGGAGAGGCTGACAGAACGCCCTGTCATCACCCTGTATGCTGAGCTGTCCCTGGAAGCTAGACGTTTGCTGGTGGCCAGAGCTCTGGCTTTTGGCCTGAAGGATGAAGATCTCCGCTACAAGGTCTCAGTGTGGCAGGTAAGACATGACAGTTCGACTGATGTGTGTATATAGTGGGAAGATATCGGAGGATATGACTGATGTGTATATATAGTGGGAAGATATCGGAGGATATGACTGATGTGTGTATATAGTGGGAAGATATCGGAGGATATGACTGATGTGTATATATAGTGGGAAGATATCGGAGGATATGACTGATGTGTGTATATAGTGGGAAGATATCGGAGGATATGACTGATGTGTATATATAGTGGGAAGATATCGGAGGATATGACTGATGTGTGTGTATATAGTGGGAAGATATCGGAGGATATGACTGATGTGTGTATATAGTGGGAAGATATCGGAGGATATGACTGATGTGTGTATATAGTGGGAAGATATCGGAGGATATGACTGATGTGTGTATATAGTGGGAAGATATCGGAGGATATGACTGATGTGTATATATAGTGGGAAGATATCGGAGGATATGACTGATGTGTGTATATAGTGGGAAGATATCGGAGGATATGACTGATGTGTGTATATAGTGGGAAGATATCGGAGGATATGACTGATGTGTGTATATAGTGGGAAGATATCGGAGGATATGACTGATGTGTGTATATAGTGGGAAGATATCGGAGGATATGACTGATGTGTATATATAGTGGGAAGATATCGGAGGATATGACTGATGTGTGTATATAGTGGGAAGATATCGGAGGATATGTGCACCCAGCTGTATCTAGTTTTTTTTGTAACTCTTTATTTGAGTTTCACATTCAGGGTTACATTGTGATTGGTGTTGACCAGACCTGGGGTTACATTGTGATTGGTGTTGACCAAGACCTGGGTTACATTGTGATTGGTGTTCACCAGACCTGGGGTCAAATACTATTTGAAATCTTTAAAAATACTTTCAGCGTTTGCTTTAGCCTGCCTGGAGCGCTAGCTTGGCAGGGTTTGAATTTGTGGGACTTTTCTATTGGTTCCATTGCAACAGGCAGCTCAATCAAACACAGATCAAGTATTTGAACCCAGGTCTGATGTAGACTACTGAAACATTAGTGTGTGGTCCTGCAGACAGAGCTGAACTCCAGAGAAGGCGCCTGGGAGAGGCTGAGTCTAGAGAGAGACCCTATGGTGCTGGCTGGTCTCATGTGGTCCTGGCTGGAGCAGCTCAAAGAGCCAATCATCTCCTCTCAGGATGTCCAGGCCCTGTGCCAAAACAACTACAACTCTCAGCATGCACTCAACTCTCTGGAGAAGGTATGATGATGTCATATACAGTGCCTTCGGAAAGTATTCAGACCCCTTGACTTTTTCCATATTTTGTTACGTTACAGCCTTATTCTAAAATGGATTAAATAAATAAAAATCCTCAGCAATCTACACACAATACCCCATAATGACAAAGCAAAAACAGGTTTGTAGAATTTTTTGTAAATGTATTAAAAATTAAAAACAGAAATACCTTATTTACATAAGTATTTAGACCCTTTGCTATGAGACTCTAAATTGAGCTCAGGTGCATCCTGTTTCCATTGATCATCCTTGAGATGTTTCTACAATTTGATTGGACATGATTTGGAAAGGCACACACCTGTCTATATAAGGTCCCACAGTTGACTGTGCATGTCAGAGCAAAAACCAAGCCATCAGGTCGAAGGAATTGTCCGTAGAGCTCCGAGACAGGATTGTGTCGAGGCACAGATCTGGGGAAGGGTACCAAAAAATGACTGCAACATTGAAGGTCCCCAAGAACACAGTGGCCTTCATCATTCTTAAAGGGAATAAGTTTGGAACCACCAAGACTCTTCCTAGAGCTGGCTGCCCGGCCAAACTGAGCAATTGGGTGACCAAGATCCCGATGGTCACTCTGACAGAGCTCCAGAGTTCCTCTGTGGAGATGGGAGAACCTTCCAGAACCTCTGCAGCACTCCACCAATCAGGCCTTTATGGTAGAGTGGCCAGACGGAAGCCACTCCTCAGTAAAAGGCACAGGACAGCCCGCTTGGAGTTTGCCAAAAGGCTCCTAAAGGACTCTCAGACCATGAGAAACAAGACTCTCTGATCTGATGAAAACAAGATTGAACTCTTTGGCCTGAATGCCAAACGTCACGTCTGGAGGAAACCTGACACCATCCCTACGGTGAAGCATGGTGGTGGCAGCATCATGCTGTGGGGATGTTTTTCAGCGGCAGGGACTGGGAGACTAGACAGGATCGAGGGAAAGATGAACGGAGCAAAGTACAGAGAGATCCTTGATGAAAACCTGCTCCAGAGCGCTCAGGACCTCAGACTGGGGCGAAGGATCACCTTCCAACAGGACAACAACCCTAAGCACACAGCCAAGACAATGCAGGAGTGTATATTATGTGTATAATATATATATATATATATATATATACAGTGGGGGAAAAAAGTATTTAGTCAGCCACCAATTGTGCAAGTTCTCCCACTTAAAAAGATGAGAGAGGCCTGTAATTTTCATCATAGGTACACGTCAACTATGACAGACAAAATGAGAAAAGAAAATCCAGAAAATCACATTGTAGGATTTTTTATGCATTTATTTGCAAATTATGGTGGAAAATAAGTATTTGGTCACCTACAAACAAGCAAGATTTCTGGCTCTCACAGACCTGTAACTTCTTCTTTAAGAGGCTCCTCTGTCCTCCACTCGTTACCTGTATTAATGGCACCTGTTTGAACTTGTTATCAGTATAAAAGACACCTGTCCACAACCTCAAACAGTCACACTCCAAACTCCACTATGGCCAAGACCAAAGAGCTGTCAAAGGACACCAGAAACAAAATTGTAGACCTGCACCAGGCTGGGAAGACTGAATCTGCAATAGGTAAGCAGCTTGGTTTGAAGAAATCAACTGTGGGAGCAAGTATTAGGAAATGGAAGACATACAAGACCACTGGTAATCTCCCTCGATCTGGGGCTCCACGCAAGATCTCACCCCGTGGGGTCAAAATGATCACAAGAACGGTGAGCAAAAGTCCCAGAACCACACAGGGGGACCTAGTGAATGACCTGCAGAGAGCTGGGACCAAAGTAACAAAGCCTACCATCAGTAACACACTACGCCGCCAGGGACTCAAATCCTGCAGTGCCAGACGTGTCCCCCTGCTTAAGCCAGTACATGTCCAGGCCCGTCTGAAGTTTGCTAGAGTGCATTTGGATGATCCAGAAGAGGATTGGGAGAATGTCATATGGTCAGATGAAACCAAAATATAACTTTTTGGTAAAAACTCAACTCGTCGTGTTTGGAGGACAAAGAATGCTGAGTTGCATCCAAACACCATACATACTGTGAAGCATGGGGGTGGAAACATCATGCTTTGGGGCTGTTTTTCTGCAAAGGGACCAGTACGACTGATCCGTGTAAAGGAAAGAATGAATGGGGCCATGTATCGTGAGATTTTGAGTGAAAACCTCCTTCCATCAGCAAGGGCATTGAAGATGAAACGTGGCTGGGTCTTTCAGCATGACAATGATCCCAAACACACCGCCCGGGCAACGAAGGAGTGGCTTCGTAAGAAGCATTTCAAGGTCCTGGAGTGGCCTAGCCAGTCTCCAGATCTCAACCCCATAGAAAATCTTTGGAGGGAGTTGAAAGTCTGTGTTGCCCAGCGACAGCCCCAAAACATCACTGCTCTAGAGGAGATCTGCATGGAGGAATGGGCCAAAATACCAGCAACACTGTGTGAAAACCTTGTGAAGACTTACAGAAAACGTTTGACCTGTGTCATTGCCAACAAAGGGTATATAACAAAGTATTGAGAAACTTTTGTTATTGACCAAATACTTATTTTCCACCATAATTTGCAAATAAATTCATAAAAAATCCTACAATGTGATTTTCTGGAGAAAAAAAATCTCATTTTGTCTGTCATATTTGACGAGTACCTATGATGAAAATTACAGGCCTCTCTCATCTTTTTAAGTGGGAGAACATACACAATTGGTGGCTGACTAAATACTTTTTTTCCCCACTGTATATATATTTGTTACAATTTCTAAAAAACAGTTTTTGTTTTGTCATTATGGATTATTGTGTGTAGATTGATGAGGGAAAAAAACTATTTAATCAATTTTAGAATAAGGCTGTAACGTAACAAAATGTGGAAAAAGTCAAGGAGTCTGAATACTTTACGAAGGCACTGTAGAAGAAGGGAGAAGGCAATACTGTTATACCATAAAACCAATATTGTTATGTCGATTATACCGGCTACTATGGGTTATCACATGGTTACTATGGGTTATCACATGGTTACTATGGGTTATCACATGGTTACTATGGGTTATCACATGGTTACTATGGGTTATCACTTGGTTACTATGGGTTATCACGTAGTTAATATGGGTTATCATGTTGTTAATATGGGTTATCACGTAGTTAATATGGGTTATCACGTAGTTAATATGGGTTATCACGTTGTTAATATGGGTTATCACACAACCAGTAAAATAAATAAGAAATGATATATGCTATGCCATTTAGCCGATTTGGGAGGATTGTAATATATAATCATTATAGAATATAACAATGGATGCCATTTAGCAGACTTTTATCCAAAATGATTTAGTCATGCGTGCATACATTTAACATATTGGTGGTCCCAGGAATCGAACCCACTACCCTGGTGTTACAAGCGCCATGCTCTACCAACTGAGCTACAAAGGACAAGGTTATTGTGTGGTTAAGGTAACCTTTCGACTATTCCTTCCTCCCCAGGTCACGTGATATATAATACAATTATAGGTAGGGTTGAAAGATTCCAGTAACTTTCCCAAATTCTTTGATTTTTCAGAAAGTCCCAGAATCAGGAGGGAAATAAACAGGAAATCCAGAATCCTCCATCCTGGGAAGAGTTTTGCAACCCTAATTCTAGGTCTGTTGTTGATTGTCCTCCTCCAGAGCCACAGACTAACCCTGCTCTGCATCCTGGACTGTGCTGCCCATCTGCTGGCCTTACCTGACAAGGTGGAAGCTGACTTCCTCCATCACACCATCAAGGTCTTCACTAAGGTAAGGGTTAGGGTTAGAGTACTGGACAGCAAGGGCAGGTGAACAACTAGCCCTGTTATTCAGAATGAGAAAGCCATGTTCAGGCTCTGATCAGCCCCTACACCCAAACGAGGGCATTGCGTTCATCCACCTCTGGCCTGCTGGCTCCCCTTCCTCTGCGGAAGCATAGTTCCCTCTCAGCCCAGTCAAAACTGTTCGCTGCTCTGGCACCCCAATGGTGGAACAAGCTCCCTCACGACGCCAGGACAGCGGAGTCACTGACCACCTTCCGGAGACACTTGAAACCCCACCTCTTTAAGGAATACCTGGGATAGGATAAAGTAATCATTCTACCCCCCCTTACCCCACCCCACCCCAAAAACAATTATTATTGTAAAGTGGTTATCCCACTGGCTATAAGGTGAATGCACCAATTTGTAAGTCACTCTGGATAAGAGCGTCTGGCTAAATGATGTAAATGTAAATGTGGTTATGTCCCAAATGGCACCCTATTTTCTAAATAGTGCACTACTTTGGCCAGAGCACAGAGCCCTATGGCTCCTGGTCTTTAAGGTACACTACATAGGGAACAGATCCATTACTAGCATTGGTGTGATGCAGTGTGTTCCCTCCCCCAGATCCCCTCAGAGAGTGACCATGTTCTACATGTCTTATCCCCCAGATCCCCTCCTCCTCAGAGTGACCATGTTCTATATGTCTTATCCCCCAGATCCCCTCCTCCTCAGAGTGACCATGTTCTACATGTCTTATCCCCCAGATCCCCTCCTCCTCAGAGTGACCATGTTCTATTTGTGTTATCCCCCAGATATCCCCAGAGAGTGACCATGTTCTATATGTCTTATCCCCCAGATATCCCCAGAGAGTGACCATGTTCTATATGTCTTATCCCCCAGATATCCCCAGAGAGTGACCATGTTCTATATGTCTTATCCCCCAGATATCCCCAGAGAGTGACCATGTTCTATATGTCTTATCCCCCAGATATCCCCAGAGAGTGACCATGTTCTATATGTCTTATCCCCCAGATCCCCTCAGAGAGTGACCATGTTCTATATGTCTTATCCCCCAGATATCCCCAGAGAGTGACCATGTTCTATATGTCTTATCCCCCAGATCCCCTCAGAGAGTGACCATGTTCTATTTGTCTTATCCCCCAGATATCCCCAGAGAGTGACCATGTTCTATATGTCTTATCCCCCAGATATCCCCAGAGAGTGACCATGTTCTATTTGTGTTATCCCCCCAGATATCCCCAGAGAGTGACCATGTTCTATATGTCTTATCCCCCAGATATCCCCAGAAAGTGACCATGTTCTATATGTCTTATCCCCCAGATATCCCCAGAGAGTGACCATGTTCTATATGTCTTATCCCCCAGATATCCCCAGAGAGTGACCATGTTCTATATGTCTTATCCCCCAGATATCCCCAGAGAGTGACCATGTTCTATATGTCTTATCCCCCAGATATCCCCAGAGAGTGACCATGTTCTATATGTCTTATCCCCCAGATCCCCTCAGAGAGTGACCATGTTCTATATGTCTTATCCCCCAGATATCCCCAGAGAGTGACCATGTTCTATATGTCTTATCCCCCAGATCCCCTCAGAGAGTGACCATGTTCTATTTGTCTTATCCCCCAGATATCCCCAGAGAGTGACCATGTTCTATATGTCTTATCCCCCAGATATCCCCAGAGAGTGACCATGTTCTATTTGTGTTATCCCCCAGATATCCCCAGAGAGTGACCATGTTCTATTTGTGTTATCCCCCAACTATCCCCAGAGAGTGACCATGTTCTATTTGTCTTATCCTCCAGATATCCCCAGAGAGTGACCATGTTCTATATGTCTTATCCCCCAGATATCCCCAGAGAGTGACCATGTTCTATATGTCTTATCCCCCAGATATCCCCAGAGAGTGACCATGTTCTATATGTCTTATCCCCCAGATATCCCCAGAGAGTGACCATGTTCTATTTGTGTTATCCCCCAGATATCCCCAGAGAGTGACCATGTTCTATTTGTGTTATCCCCCAGATATCCCCAGAGAGTGACCATGTTCTATTTGTGTTATCCCCCAGATATCCCCAGAGAGTGACCATGTTCTATTTGTGTTATCCCCCAGATATCCCCAGAGAGTGACCATGTTCTATTTGTCTTATCCTCCAGATATCCCCAGAGAGTGACCATGTTCTATTTGTGTTATCCCCCAGATATCCCCAGAGAGTGACCATGTTCTATTTGTCTTATCCTCCAGATATCCCCAGAGAGTGACCATGTTCTATATGTCTTATCCCCCAGATATCCCCAGAGAGTGACCATGTTCTATATGTCTTATCCCCCAGATATCCCCAGAGAGTGACCATGTTCTATATGTCTTATCCCCCAGATATCCCCAGAGAGTGACCATGTTCTATTTGTGTTATCCCCCAGATATCCCCAGAGAGTGACCATGTTCTATTTGTGTTATCCCCCAGATATCCCCAGAGAGTGACCATGTTCTATTTGTGTTATCCCCCAGATATCCCCAGAGAGTGACCATGTTCTATTTGTGTTATCCCCCAGATATCCCCAGAGAGTGACCATGTTCTATTTGTCTTATCCTCCAGATATCCCCAGAGAGTGACCATGTTCTATTTGTGTTATCCCCCAGATATCCCCAGAGAGTGACCATGTTCTATATGTCTTATCCCCCAGATCCCCTCAGAGAGTGACCATGTTCTATATGTCTTATCCCCCAGATCCCCTCCTCCTCAGAGAGTGACCATGTTCTATATGTCTTATCCCCCAGATATCCCCAGAGAGTGACCATGTTCTATTTGTGTTATCCCCCAGATATCCCCAGAGAGTGACCATGTTCTATATGTCTTATCCCCCAGATATCCCCAGAGAGTGACCATGTTCTATATGTCTTATCCCCCAGATATCCCCAGAGAGTGACCATGTTCTATATATCTTATCCCCCAGATCCCCTCAGAGAGTGACCATGTTCTATATGTCTTATCCCCCAGATCCCCTCAGAGAGTGACCATGTTCTATATGTCTTATCCCCCAGATATCCCCAGAGAGTGACCATGTTCTATATGTCTTATCCCCCAGATATCCCCAGAGAGTGACCATGTTCTATTTGTGTTATCCCCCAGATATCCCCAGAGAGTGACCATGTTCTATTTGTGTTATCCCCCAGATATCCCCAGAGAGTGACCATGTTCTATTTGTGTTATCCCCCAGATATCCCCAGAGAGTGACCATGTTATATTTGTGTTATCCCCCAGATATCCCCAGAGAGTGACCATGTTCTATTTGTCTTATCCTCCAGATATCCCCAGAGAGTGACCATGTTCTATTTGTGTTATCCCCCAGATATCCCCAGAGAGTGACCATGTTCTATATGTCTTATCCCCCAGATCCCCTCAGAGAGTGACCATGTTCTATATGTCTTATCCCCCAGATCCCCTCCTCCTCAGAGAGTGACCATGTTCTATATGTCTTATCCCCCAGATATCCCCAGAGAGTGACCATGTTCTATTTGTGTTATCCCCCAGATATCCCCAGAGAGTGACCATGTTCTATATGTCTTATCCCCCAGATATCCCCAGAGAGTGACCATGTTCTATATGTCTTATCCCCCAGATATCCCCAGAGAGTGACCATGTTCTATATGTCTTATCCCCCAGATCCCCTCAGAGAGTGACCATGTTCTATATGTCTTATCCCCCAGATCCCCTCAGAGAGTGACCATGTTCTATATGTCTTATCCCCCAGATATCCCCAGAGAGTGACCATGTTCTATATGTCTTATCCCCCAGATCCCCTCAGAGAGTGACCATGTTCTATATGTCTTATCCCCCAGATCCCCTCAGAGAGTGACCATGTTCTATATGTCTTATCCCCCAGATCCCCAGAGAGTGACCATGTTCTATATGTCTTATCCCCCAGATATCCCCAGAGAGTGACCATGTTCTATATGTCTTATCCCCCAGATCCCCTCAGAGAGTGACCATGTTCTATTTGTCTTATCCCCCAGATATCCCCAGAGAGTGACCATGTTCTATATGTCTTATCCCCCAGATATCACCAGAGAGTGACCATGTTCTATTTGTGTTATCCCCCAGATATCCCCAGAGAGTGACCATGTTCTATTTGTGTTATCCCCCAGATATCCCCAGAGAGTGACCATGTTCTATTTGTGTTATCCCCCAGATATCCCCAGAGAGTGACCATGTTCTATATGTCTTATCCCCCAGATATCCCCAGAGAGTGACCATGTTCTATTTGTGTTATCCCCCAGATATCCCCAGAGAGTGACCATGTTCTATTTGTATTATCCCCCAGATATCCCCAGAGAGTGACCATGTTCTATTTGTGTTATCCCCCAGATATCCCCAGAGAGTGACCATGTTCTATTTGTGTTATCCCCCAGATATCCCCAGAGAGTGACCATGTTCTATTTGTCTTATCCTCCAGATATCCCCAGAGAGTGACCATGTTCTATTTGTGTTATCCCCCAGATATCCCCAGAGAGTGACCATGTTCTATTTGTGTTATCCCCCAGATATCCCCAGAGAGTGACCATGTTCTATTTGTCTTATCCTCCAGATATCCCCAGAGAGTGACCATGTTCTATATGTCTTATCCCCCAGATCCCCTCAGAGAGTGACCATGTTCTATTTGTCTTATCCCCCAGATATCCCCAGAGAGTGACCATGTTCTATATGTCTTATCCCCCAGATCCCCTCAGAGAGTGACCATGTTCTATATGTCTTATCCCCCAGATATCCCCAGAGAGTGACCATGTTCTATATGTCTTATCCCCCAGATATCCCCAGAGAGTGACCATGTTCTATATGTCTTATCCCCCAGATATCCCCAGAGAGTGACCATGTTCTATTTGTCTTATCCCCCAGATATCCCCAGAGAGTGACCATGTTCTATTTGTCTTATCCTCCAGATATCCCCAGAGAGTGACCATGTTCTATATGTCTTATCCCCCAGATATCCCCAGAGAGTGACCATGTTCTATTTGTGTTATCCTCCAGATATCCCCAGAGAGTGACCATGTTCTATATATCTTATCCCCCAGATATCCCCAGAGAGTGACCATGTTCTATATGTCTTATCCCCCAGATCCCCTCAGAGAGTGACCATGTTCTATATGTCTTATCCCCCAGATCCCCTCCTCCTCAGAGAGTGACCATGTTCTATATGTCTTATCCCCCATATATCCCCAGAGAGTGACCATGTTCTATTTGTCTTATCCTCCAGATATCCCCAGAGAGTGACCATGTTCTATTTGTGTTATCCCCCAGATATCCCCAGAGAGTGACCATGTTCTATTTGTGTTATCCCCCAGATATCCCCAGAGAGTGACCATGTTCTATTTGTCTTATCCTCCAGATATCCCCAGAGAGTGACCATGTTCTATATGTCTTATCCCCCAGATCCCCTCAGAGAGTGACCATGTTCTATTTGTCTTATCCCCCAGATATCCCCAGAGAGTGACCATGTTCTATATGTCTTATCCCCCAGATCCCCTCAGAGAGTGACCATGTTCTATATGTCTTATCCCCCAGATATCCCCAGAGAGTGACCATGTTCTATATGTCTTATCCCCCAGATATCCCCAGAGAGTGACCATGTTCTATTTGTCTTATCCCCCAGATATCCCCAGAGAGTGACCATGTTCTATATGTCTTATCCCCCAGATATCCCCAGAGAGTGACCATGTTCTATTTGTCTTATCCCCCAGATATCCACAGAGAGTGACCATGTTCTATTTGTGTTATCATCCAGATATCCCCAGAGAGTGACCATGTTCTATATGTCTTATCCCCCAGATATCCCCAGAGAGTGACCATGTTCTATATGTCTTATCCCCCAGATATCCCCAGAGAGTGACCATGTTCTATTTGTGTTATCCCCCAGATATCCCCAGAGAGTGACCATGTTCTATATGTCTTATCCCCCAGATATCCCCAGAGAGTGACCATGTTCTATATGTCTTATCCCCCAGATATCCCCAGAGAGTGACCATGTTCTATATGTCTTATCCCCCAGATCCCCTCAGAGAGTGACCATGTTCTATTTGTCTTATCCCCCAGATATCCCCAGAGAGTGACCATGTTCTATATGTCTTATCCCCCAGATATCCCCAGAGAGTGACCATGTTCTATATGTCTTATCCCCCAGATATCCCCAGAGAGTGACCATGTTCTATATGTCTTATCCCCCAGATCCCCTCAGAGAGTGACCATGTTCTATTTGTCTTATCCCCCAGATATCCCCAGAGAGTGGCCATGTTCTATATGTCTTATCCCCCAGATATCCCCAGAGAGTGACCATGTTCTATATGTCTTATCCCCCAGATATCCCCAGAGAGTGACCATGTTCTATATGTCTTATCCCCCAGATATCCCCAGAGAGTGACCATGTTCTACACCAGACACTGATAGCCATCCTGACTCCCGTCCTGCACCAGCTGAGAGAGAGAGCAGAGGGGGAGATGGAGACTACCAACCACTCCTCCTGATGTTCCCTCAGACCTCCTGCCTCTTCTCCTCCCTCCTCTCCCCCCTCCTCCCCTGTTCTTTGCTTCCAGTTTAACCCAGCTCCGTTCTGACTAGCTAACCTCCTCCCTCCTCTCCTCTCCTCACCTCCACCTCCTTCTCTGTCCTGACCCCACGTTAACCCAGTTCTGTTCTGACTAGCTAACCTCCTCCCCCTCTTTCTCTCCTCTGCCCCCACCCAAAACTATCTTCTGGTATTTGTTTCGTTAGTCCATTGTTGACATAGTCTCAAACTGTTTTGCTTGTCAGCAAACACGTTTTTAAGAGACGTAAATGTATCAAATGGGGGTAATTTCTGTATTTTGAAAGTTACATATCTTGAAAACTTGATTGCTGACAAGCAAAATAGTTTTGGGACTATGTCAACAATGGACTAATGAAACAAATACCAGAAGATTTTGGGTGGAGTTTTCCTTTAACCGAGCTCTGTCCTGACTAGCTAACTGCTGCGCGGTGGTCTGTTACCAAGCTTTCGATTAAATAATAATATTAATGTTGTACGACAACGTGATGTGATTTCAGCATCGAGGTTTATTTTTGTTTGTTTGAAGCTATTTCTGACTGTTTGTTTTTTTTATCAAAAAACTGCCATACTGTGTTGATGTGCCAGGTATTATCTGTTATATACTCTGTTCTCTGTTATATACTCTGTTCTCTGTTATATACTCTGTTCTCTGTTATATACTCTGTTCTCTGTTATATACTCTGTTCTACTACTGTAGGTGTTGCTCTAGAAATGGATGTTACACCTCTGTTCATAGATTGTGTCCCAAATTACACCCTATTCCCTATATAGTGCACTACTTTAGACCAGGGCCCTATGACACCCTATTCCCTATATAGTGCACTACTTTAGACCAGAGCCCTATGACACCCTATTCCCTATATAGTGCACTACTTTAGACCAGAGCCCTATGACACCCTATTCCCTATATAGTGCACTACTTTAGACCAGAGCCCTATGACACCCTATTCCCTATATAGTACACTACTTTAGACCAGAGCCCTATGACACCCTATTCCCTATATAGTGCACTACTTTAGACCAGAGCCCTATGGCACCATATTCCCTATATAGTGCACTACTTTAGACCAGAGCCACATGACACCCTATTCCCTATATAGTGCACTACTTTAGACCAGAGCCCTATGACACCCTATTCCCTATATAGTGCACTACTTTAGACCAGAGCCACATGACACCCTATTCCCTATATAGTGCACTACTTTAGACCAGAGCCCTATGGCACCCTATTCCCTATATAGTACACTACTTTAGACCAGAGCCACATGACACCCTATTCCCTATATAGTGCACTACTTTAGACCAGAGCCCTATGACACCCTATTCCCTATATAGTACACTACTTTAGACCAGAGCCCTATGACACCCTATTCCCTATATAGTGCACTACTTTAGACCAGAGCCCTATGACACCCTATTCCCTATATATAACACTACTTTAGACCAGAGCCCTATGGCACCCTATTCCCTATATAGTGCACTACTTTAGACCAGAGCCCTATGACACCCTATTCCCTATATAGTGCACTACTTTAGACCAGAGCCCTATGACACCCTATTCCCTTTATAGTACACTACTTTAGACCAGAGCCCTATGACACCCTATTCCCTATATAGTGCACTACTTTAGACCAGAGCCCTATGACACCCTATTCCCTATATAGTGCACTACTTTAGACCAGAGCCCTATGACACCCTATTCCCTATATAGTGCACTACTTTAGACCAGAGCCCTATGACACCCTATTCCCTATATAGTGCACTACTTTAGACCAGAGCCCTATGACACCCTATTCCCTATATAGAACACTACTTTAGACCAGAGCCCTATGGCACCCTATTCCCTATATAGTACACTACTTTAGACCAGAGCCCTATGACACCCTATTCCCTATATAGTGCACTACTTTTGACCAGAGCCCTATGACACCCTATTCCCTATATAGTGCACTACTTTAGACCAGAGCCCTATGACACCCTGTTCCCTATATAGTGCACTCCTTTAGACCAGAGCCCTATGGCACCCTATTCCCTATATAGTGCACTACTTTAGACCAGAGCCCTATGGCACCCTATTCCCTATATAGTGCACTACTTTAGACCAGAGCCCTATGGCACCCTATTCCCTATATAGTGCACTACTTTAGACCAGAGCCCTATGGCACCCTATTCCCTATATAGTGCACTACTTTAGACCATGGCCCTATGGCACCCTATTCCCTATATAGTGCACTACTTTAGACCAGAGCCCTATGACACCCTATTCCCTATATAGTGCACTACTTTAGACCAGACCCCTATGACACCCTATTCCCTATATAGTGCACTACTTTAGACCAGAGCCCTATGGCAGCCTATTCCCTATATAGTGCACTACTTTAGACCAGAGCCCTATGACACCCTATTCCCTATATAGTGCACTACTTTAGACCAGACCCCTATGACACCCTATTCCCTATATAGTGCACTACTTTAGACCAGAGCCCTATGACACCCTATTCCCTATATAGTGCACTACTTTAGACCAGAGCCCTATGACACCCTATTCCCTATATAGTGCACTACTTTAGACCAGAGCCTTATGACACCCTATTCCCTATATAGTGCACTACTTTAGACCAGAGCCCTATGACACCCTATTCCCTATATAGTGCACTACTTTAGACCAGAGCCCTATGGGTCCTTGTCAAAAGTACGTAGTGCACTAGATAGGGAATAGGGTGTCGGTCGGTACGTTGCTTTTTGTCAGCAATGACTGGAAAGTGAATCCTCATGAAATGAATGTAAATGTTATTTTATTTCAGTGAAGAATTGAACCGCTGCTTTGCTCAGCTCGCTCTCGGAGCTGAGGATGAGGAAATAAAACACATTTTATTTCATTTGAACCAAAATATGTTTTCACTGTCTAAAATTGTACGATGTCTTATTTATTGAACTTCTCACTTGAATAGAAAAACATAATGAAACACAGGATGTGTCTCAAACAGCACCCTAGTCCCTATATAGTGCTGTGGGCTCTGGTCTAAAGTAGTGCACTATATAGGGAATAGGGTGCCATTTGGGATGCATGCAAATAAAATGCAAAACTTGCTATGTTAATTAGTAAATTTCTTAGCTAGATTAAAATGCAACTTAAAATGTTATTTCTATCGTAAGTAATGCAAACTAGCTGGCCACAGTGATTGTGATTCTAAAGCAATACTGTAATTATTGTCCTTATCTTAAATAATACACCAAAAACACCTGACTGACACATGAGAAAACAATGTACTGTATAATATGTCATTCCCACTGGGCACAGACGTCAATTCAACGTCTATTCCACGTTGATTCAACGTAATGTCATTGAAATGACGCGGAAACAACGTTGATTCCACCAGTGTGTGTCCAGTGGGTCAGGACCTCCTGCCTCCAACCACGTCTGCATTTCAACGCTAAATGCTCTCTGCCTCAACTACTATAATGGCCTGATATGGTGATCTGTAATACTCTGCTGTGAGTCTGTAATGGCCTGATATGGTGATCTGTAATACTCTGCTGTGAGTCTATAATGGCCTGATATGGTGATCTGTAATACTCTGCTGTGAGTCTATAATGGCCTGATATGGTGATCTGTAATACTCTGCTGTGAGTCTGTAATGTTTTCTCTAAAGGAAACCCCGTAGCCGCTAAGACTGCTCTGACCTCGCTGACTGGATTTACATCCCAAATGGCACCCTATTCCCTATATAGTGCACTACGTCAGTACCAAAAGTAGTGTACTATATATGGAAAAAGGAGTGCTGTTTGGGATGCAGACCCGGGAGACAACATAAAGACAACGTAATGTCAACGTAATGTAGGTCTGTTTGATGGTCCGGTGGCCCACTGCAGACATGTAACACTGACAGAACTGAACTGACTGAAGCGCTGCAGTTTAACTAAGGGATGGGAGCTCCAGTTTAACTAAGGGATGGGAGCTCCAGTTTAACTAAGGGATGGGAGCTCCAGTTTAACTAAGGGATGGGAGCTCCAGTTTAACTAAGGGATGGGAGCTCCAGTTTAACTAAGGGATGGGAGCTCCATTTAACTAAGGGAGGGAGCTCCAGTTTAACTAAGGGATGGGAGCTCCAGTTTAACTAAGGGATGGGAGCTCCAGTTTAACTAAGGGATGTAAACTCCAGTTTAACTAAGGGATGGGAGCTCCAGTTTAACTAAGGGATGGGAGCTCCAGTTTAACTAAGGGATGGGAGCTGCAGTTTAACTAAGGGATGGGAGCTCCAGTTTAACTAAGGGATGGGAGCTGCAGTTTAACTAAGGGATGGGAGCTGCAGTTTAACTAAGGGATGGAGCTCCAGTTTAACTAAGGGATGGGAGCTCCAGTTTAACTAAGGGATGGGAGCTCCAGTTTAACTAAGGGATGGGAGCTCCAGTTTAAACTAAGGGATGGGAGCTCCAGTTTAACTAAGGGATGGGAGCTCCAGTTTAACTAAGGGGATGGAGCTCCAGTTTAACTAAGGGATGTAAACTCCAGTTTAACTAAGGGATGGGAGCTCCAGTTTAAACTAAGGGATGGGAGCTCCAGTTTAACTAAGGGATGGGAGCTGCAGTTTAACTAAGGGATGGGAGCTCCAGTTTAACTAAGGGATGGGAGCTCCAGTTTAACTAAGGGATGGGAGCTGCAGTTTAACTAAGGGATGGGAGCTGCAGTTTAACTAAGGGATGGGAGCTCCAGTTTAACTAAGGGATGGGAGCTCCAGTTTAACTAAGGGATGGGAGCTCCAGTTTAACTAAGGGATGGGAGCTCCAGTTTAACTAAGGGATGGGAGCTCCAGTTTAACTAAGGGATGGGAGCTCCAGTTTAACTAAGGGATGGGAGCTCCAGTTTAACTAAGGGATGGGAGCTCCAGTTTAACTAAGGGATGGGAGCTGCAGTTTAACTAAGGGATGGGAGCTGCAGTTTAACTAAGGGATGGGAGCTCCAGTTTAACTAAGGGATGGGAGCTCCAGTTTAACTAAGGGATGGGAGCTCCAGTTTAACTAAGGGATGGGAGCTCCAGTTTAACTAAGGGATGGGAGCTCCAGTTTAACTAAGGGATGGGAGCTCCAGTTTAACTAAGGGATGGGAGCTCCAGTTTAACTAAGGGATGGGAGCTCCAGTTTAACTAAGGGATGGGAGCTCCAGTTAACTAAGGGATGGGAGCTCCAGTTTAACTAAGGGATGGGAGCTCCAGTTTAAACTAAGGGATGGGAGCTCCAGTTTAACTAAGGGATGGGAGCTCCAGTTTAACTAAGGGATGGGAGCTCCAGTTTAAACTAAGGGATGGGAGCTCCAGTTTAACTAAGGGATGGGAGCTCCAGTTTAACTAAGGGATGGGAGCTCCAGTTTAACTAAGGGATGGGAGCTCCAGTTTAACTAAGGGATGGGAGCTCCAGTTTAACTAAGGGATGGGAGCTCCAGTTTAACTAAGGGATGGGAGCTCCAGTTTAAACTAAGGGATGGGAGCTCCAGTTTAACTAAGGGATGGGAGCTCCAGTTTAACTAAGGGATGGGAGCTCCAGTTTAACTAAGGGATGGGGAGCTCCAGTTTAACTAAGGGATGGGAGCTCCAGTTTAACTAAGGGATGGGAGCTGCAGTTTAACTAAGGGATGGGAGCTCCAGTTTAACTAAGGGATGGGAGCTGCAGTTTAACTAAGGGATGGGAGCTCCAGTTTAACTAAGGGATGTAAACTCCAGTTTAACTAAGGGATGGGAGCTGCAGCTTAACTAAGGGATGTAAACTCCAGTTTAACTAAGGGATGTAAACTCCAGTTTAACTAAGGGATGGGAGCTCCAGTTTAACTAAGGGATGGGAGCTCCAGTTTAACTAAGGGATGGGAGCTGCAGTTTAACTAAGGGATGGGAGCTCCAGTTTAACTAAGGGATGTAAACTCCAGTTTAACTAAGGGATGTAAACTCCAGTTTAACTAAGGGATGGGAGCTGCAGTTTAACTAAGGGATGGGAGCGGCAGCTTAATTAAAAGGGATTGTGATTTCAGATGTATGTTGTAGAAACGTTGTACTGTCTAACTGTTCAAGAAGCACAATTTTTTCATTGTTACATTCCTTATGAATAAATTAAATGTGCTTAACATGTGATGCTGCGTGTCGACTCAAGTCATTTCACGCTGGCTGATTGTATTAAAAAGAGGCTTTATTGTGGCCCAATCGTAGTGCACTACTTAGGGAATAGGGTTTCCATTGGGGACACACATAAGTACAGTCTAATGTCTAACCCCTGGCAAAATATCTAGACAATGGTGTGTTGCTAGGAAACCATTATCTTTCAATCGAATTAGAATGACTCAATAATTGAATTCTATAATTCTATAATTCTATGGATGTTATAATCATAATGTGGCTATGAGTGACAGGCATGTTCCGGAACCATCAGGGACCATACAACTAGGAATGTACCTGTCCTCTCCTGCTCAGATCATCAATCAGCAGCGTTGAGAATGGAAGTCCAACTAGGTAAAGAGCTGAGCTGTCCTGTATGTCTAGAGGTCTTCAGTCCACCTGTTATAGAGTTGTGTTGTAGTCATAACTACTGCAAGAAGTGCATTCATCAGACCCTCATCGCCCAGAACTGCAACAAGCCCCAGGACCAGTTCATCTGCCCCATGTGTAGACAGGTAAGAAGAGAAGCTGCTGTCTCTATTCTATCAAATGGCACCGTAGTCCCAGTATAGTGCAGTACTATTGGTCAGAAAGTAATGCCATAAGGTGTGTTGCCATAATGTGTGTTGCCATAATGTCTTGCCATAAGGTGTGTTGCCATTAGGTGTGTTGCCATAAGGTGTGTTGCCATAATGTCTTGCCATAAGGTGTGTTGCCATAAGGTGTGTTGCCATTAGGTGTGTTGCCATTAGGTGTGTTGCCATAAGGTGTGTTGCCATAAGGTGTGTTGCCATAAGGTGTGTTGCCATAAGGTGTGTTGCCATAATGTGTGTTGCCATCAGGTGTGTTGCCATAAGGTGTGTTGCCATCAGGTGTGTTGCCATAGGTGTGTTGCCATAATGTGTGTTGCCATAATGTGTGTTGCCATCAGGTGTGTTGCCATCAGGTGTGTTGCCATCAGGTGTGTTGCCATAAGGTGTGTTGCCATAAGGTGTGTTGCCATAAGGTGTGTTGCCATAATGTGTGTTGCCATAAGGTGTGTTGCCATAAGGTGTGTTGCCATAATGTGTGTTGCCATCAGGTGTGTTGCCATAAGGTGTGTTGCCATTATGTGTGTTGCCATCAGGTGTGTTGCCATAATGTGTGTTGCCATAATGTGTGTTGCCATCAGGTGTGTTGCCATAAGGTGTGTTGCCATAATGTGTGTTGCCATCAGGTGTGTTGCCATCAGGTGTGTTGCCATAAGGTGTGTTGCCATAAGGTGTGTTGCCATCAGGTGTGTTGCCATCAGGTGTGTTGCCATCAGGTGTGTTGCCATAGTTGTGTTGGCCATCAGTGTGTTGTCCATAATGGTGTGTTGCCAATAGGGGTGTTTGCCATACGGTTTGTGCCCATAAGGTGTGTTGCATAATGATGTGTTGCCATAAGGTGTGTTTGCCATAATGCTTGCCATACGGGTGTGTTGCCATAATGTGTGTTGCCATCAGGTGTGTTGCCATAAGGTGTGTTGCTATAAGGTGTGTTGCCATTAGGTGTGTTGCCATAAGGTGTGTTGCCATAATGTGTGTTGCCATCAGGTGTGTTGCCATAAGGTGTGTTGCCATAATGTCTTGCCATAAGGTGTGTTGCCATAATGTGTGTTGCCATCAGGTGTGTTGCCATAAGGTGTGTTGCTATAAGGTGTGTTGCCATTAGGTGTGTTGCCATAAGGTGTGTTGCCATAAGGTGTGTTGCCATAAGGTGTGTTGCCATCAGGTGTGTTGCCATAAAGGTGTGTTGCCATAAGGGTGTTGCCATAATGGTGTGTTGCCATAAGGTGTGTTGCCATCAGGTGTGTTGCCATAAGGTGTGTTGCCATAAGGTGTGTTGCCATCAGGTGTGTTGCCATCAGGTGTGCTGCCATTAGGTGTGTTGCCATAATGTGTGTTGCCATAAGGTGTGTTGCCATAAGGTGTGTTGCCATCAGGTGTGTTGCCATAAGGTGTGTTGCCATTAGGTGTGTTGCCATTAGGTGTGTTGCCATAAGGTGTGTTGCCATAAGGTGTGTTGCCATCAGGTGTGTTGCCATAAGGTGTGTTGCCATTAGGTGTGTTGCCATAAGGTGTGTTGCCATAAGGTGTGTTGCCATAAGGTGTGTTGCCATAAGGTGTGTTGCCATAAGGTGTGTTGCCATAAGGTGTGTTGCCATAAGGTGTGTTGCCATAAGGTGTGTTGCCATAAGGTGTGTTGCCATAAGGTGTGTTGCCATAAGGTGTGTTGCCATAAGGTGTGTTGCCATAAGGTGTGTTGCCATAGGTGTGTTGCCATAAGGTGTGTTGCCATAAGGTGTGTTGCCATTAGGTGTGTTGCCATAAGGTGTTGTAGGTGTTGCCATCAGGTGTGTTGCCATAAGGTGTGTTGCCATTAGGTGTGTTGCCATAAGGTGTGTTGCCATAAGGTGTGTTGCCATCAGGTGTGTTGCCATAATGTGTGTTGCCATAAGGTGTGTTGCCATAACGCCTCTTGTTGCCGACTCCAGTGTCCTCTGTAGACACACCCCCTTTCCTTCGGCATACTGCATCTGACAGCCTATACATTTTGCCAAATCAAATCACTGTGTTGTAAGATATAATTCAACAACATGCACTTCTAACCTGTCTACTGTAGGTGAACATCTTACCTGACAAGGGACTCAACGGGTTGAAGAGGAACATGTTTGTTGAGAACGTCGTGGCAATACTGAAAGAAAGGACAGAGAGTAACGAGGCTAAGAAGCAAGCTCTGAAGGACTTCATGTGCCCTGATCATCATGAAATCATGAATCTGGTACGTTGAGTGTTCATCACATTCATCCAAACTTGCACTCATGACACATATCGTAAGAGTAGGGGTGTTAACCCCGGTGTCCTGGCTAAATTCCCAATCTGGCCCTTATACCATCATGGCCACCTAATCATCCCCAGCTTCTAATTGGCTCATTCATCCCCCCTCCTCTCCCCTGTAACTATTCCCCAGGTCGTTCCTGTAAATGAGAATGTGTTCTCAGTCAACTTACCTGGTAAAATAATATACCAATTCCCTACACAATGCACTACTTTTGACCTGGGTGTGACCTGGGTGTCATTTGGGACAAACCATATGTTATATTGTATGAGAACACAACACTCTGATCAAGACCATATATGATTTTTAAGTAATTAAAACTGCCGATTTTGCAGGTTTTCCTACTTACAAAGCATGTAGAGGTCTGTAATTTTTATCATAGGTACACTTCAACTGAGAGACGGAATCTAAAACAAAAATCCAGAAAATCACATTGTATGAATTTTAATTAAAAAATATATTTTATATTTGAGATCCTTCAAATAGCCAACCCTTGCCTTGATGACAGCTTTGCACACTCTTGACACCTATATATATAACACTACCTCTATATAAAACACTACCTCTATATAAAACACTACCTCTATATAAAACACTACCTCTATATAAAACACTACCTCTATATACAGTGAGGGAAAAAAGTATTTGATCCCCTGCTGATTTTGTATGTTTGCCTACTGACAAAGAAATGATCAGTCTATAATTGTAATGGTAGGTTTATTTGAACAGTGAGAGACAGAATAACAAAAAAAATAATCCAGAAAAATGCATGTCAAAAATGTTATATATTGATTTGCATTTTAATGAGGGAAATAAGTATTTAACCTCCTCTCAATCAGAAAGATTTCTGGCTCCCAGGTGTCTTTTATACAGGTAAAGAGCTGAGATTAGGAGCACACTCTTAAAGGGAGTGCTCCTAATCTCAGTTTGTTACCTGTATAAAAGACACCTGTCCACAGAAGCAATCAATCAATCAGATTCCAAACTCTCCACCATGGCCAAGACCAAAGAGCTCTCCAAGGATGTCAGGGACAAGATTGTAGACCTACACAAGGCTGGAATGGGCTACAAGACCATCGCCAAGCAGCTTGGTGAGAAGGTGACAACAGTTGGTGCGATTATTCGCAAATGGAAGAAACACAAAAGAACTGTCAATCTCCCTTGGCCTGGGGCTCCATGCAAGATCTTACCTCGTGGAGTTGCAATGATCATGAGAACGGTGAGGAATCAGCCCAGAACTACACGGGAGGATCTTGTCAATGATCTCAAGGCAGCTGTGACCATAGTCACCAAGAAAACAATTGGTAACACACTACGCCGTGAAGGACTGAAATCCTGCAGCGCCCGCAAGGTCCCCCTGCTCAAGAAAGCACATATACAGGCCCGTCTGAAGTTTGCCAATGAACATCTGAATGATTCAGAGGAGAACTGGGTGAAAGTGTTGTGGTCAGATGAGACCAAAATGGAGCTCTTGGCATCAACTTAATTCGCCGTGTTTGGAGGAGGAGGAATGCTGCCTATGACCTCAAGAATACCATCCCCACCATCAAACATGGAGGTGGAAACATTATGCTTTGGGGGTGTTTTTCTGCTAAGGGGACAGGACAAGTTCACCGCATCAAAGGGACGATGGACGGGGCCATGTACCGTCAAATCTTGGGTGAGAACCTCCTTCCCTCAGCCAGGGCATTGAAAATGGGTCGTGGATGGGTATTCCAGCATGACAATGACCCAAAACACACGGCCAAGGCAACAAAGGAGTAGCTCAAGAAGAAGCACATTAAGGTCCTGGAGTGGCCTAGCCAGTCTCCAGACCTTAATCCCATAGAAAATCTGTGGAGGGAGCTGAAGGTTCGAGTTGCCAAACGTCAGCCTCGAAACCTTAATGACTTGGAGAAGATCTGCAAAGAGGAGTGGGACAAAATCCCTCCTGAGATGTGTGCAAACCTGGTGGCCAACTACAAGAAACGTCTGACCTCTGTGATTGCCAACAAGGGTTTTGCCACCAAGTACTAAGTCATGTTTTGCAGAGGGGTCAAATACTTATTTCCCTCATTAAAATTCAAATCAATTTATAACATTTTTGACATGCGTTTTTCTGGATTTTTGTTGTTGTTATTCTGTCTCTCACTGTTCAAATAAACCTACCATTAAAATTGTCTTTGTCAGTGGGCAAACGTACAAAATCAGCAGGGGATCAAATACTTTTTTCCCTCACTGTAAAACACTACCTCTATATAAAACACTACCTCTATATAAAACACTACCTCTATATAAAACACTACCTCTATATAAAACACTACCTCTATATAAAACACTACCTCTATATAAAACACTCCTAACTGTAAGTCACTCCGGATGAGAGCCACTGATAAGTAAACTTTTGTTGTCTGGTTGTTTCCAGGTGTGTCTGCAGGATAACACGTTGATCTGTGCAGGATGTAAGCTGTTTGGCCACCACAGTACCCATGCAGTGTCCAAGCTATCTGATGTGTACCAGCAGAGAAAGGATGGCTTCACCAAACAGATGAAGAGTCTGCTGGACAAACATGAAGCAAACAAAGAATGCATTGAGGTAGGTAAGCCTAATAGCGAATTAATGTCAGATGTGTTTTAAGTATTCAGTTAGGTCACATGGAGGGGGTAAATACCAAGACTATAGTTGGGAGAAACGTACACTACCAGTCAAAAGTTTGGACACACCTACTCATTCAAGGGTTTTTCTGTATTTTTACTATTTTCTACATGGTAGAATAATAGTGAAGACATCAAAAATATGAAATAACACATATGGAATCATGTAGTAACCAAAAAAGTGTTAAACAAATCAAAAAATATTTGTATATTTGAGATTCTTCAAAGTAGCCACCCTTTGCCTTGATGACAGCTTTGCACTCTTGGCATTCTCTCAACCAACTTCATGAGGAACGGTTTTCCAACAGTCTTGAAGGAGTTCCCACATATGCTGAGCACTTGTTGGCTGCTTTTCCTTCACTCTGCGGTCCGACTCATCCCAAACCATCTCAATTGGGTTGAGGTCGGGGGATTGTGGAGGCCAGGTCATCTGATGCAGCACTCCATCACTCTCCTTGGTCAAATAGCCCTTACACAGCATGGAGGTGTGTTTTGGGTCATTGTCCTGTTGAAAAACAAATGATAGTCCCACTAAGCGCAAACCAGATGGGATGGCGTATCGCTGCAGAATGCTGGGGTAGCCATGCTGGTTAAGTGTGCCTTGAATTCTAAATAAATCACCAACAGTGTCACCAGCAAAGCACCTCCACACCATCACACCTCCTCCCCCATGCTTCACGGTGGGAACCGCACATGCAGAGATCATCCATTCACCTACTCTCCGTCTCAAAAGACACCGCGGTTGGAACCAAAAATCTCAAATTTGGACTCATCAGACCAAAGGACAGATTTCCACCGGTCTAATGTCCATTGCTCGTGATTCTTGGCACAAGCAAGCCTCTTCTTCTTATTGGTGTCCTTTAGTAGTGGTTTCTTTGCAGCAATTCTACCATGAAGGCCTGATTCACGCAGTCTCCTCTGAACAGTCTGCCACGCTGATCTTCAACAATGGGGCCCCTCAGGGGTGCATGCTTAGTCCCCTCCTGTACTCCCTGTTCAACCACAACTGCATGGTCAAACACGACTCCAACACCATCATTAAGTTTGCTGATGACACAACAGTGGTAGGCCTGATCACCGACAACGATGAGACAGCCTATATGGAGGAGGTCAGAGACCTGGCCGTGTGGTGCCAGGACAACAACCTCTCCCTTAATGTGAGCAAGACAACGGAGCTCATCGTGGACTACAGGAAAAGGCGGGCCGAACATGCCCCCATTAACATCGACGGGGCTGTAGTGGAGAGGGTCGAGAGTTTCAAATTCCTTGGTGTCCACATCACCAACAAACTATCATGGTCCAAACACACCAAGACAGTCGTGAAGAGGGCACGACTACATATTTCCCCCCTCAGGAGATTGAAAAGATTTGGCATGGGTCCCCAGATCCTCAAAACGTTCTACAGCTGCACCATCGAGAGCATCCTGACCGGTTGCATCACCGCCTGGTATGGCAACTGCTCAGCATCTGACCGTAAGGCGTTACAGAGGGTAGTGCATACGGCCCAGTACATCACCGAGGCCAAGCTTCCTGCCAAACAGGACCTATATACTCCCCAAGTGGATCGGAAGAAGCGAAGGTTGAGTCATGCGTCCTTCGAAACATGACCCGCCAAACCGGGCATCTTAACACCTGCTCGCTTAACCCGGAAGCCAGCCGCACCAATGTGTCAGAGGAAACACAGGTCAACTGACGACCGAAGTCAGCCTGCAGGCACCCAGCCCGCCACAAGGAGTCTGTGGGGTGCGATAAGCCAAGTAAAGCCCTCCCGGCCAAACCCTCCCCTAACCTGGACGACGCTGGGCCAATTGTGCGCCGCCCTATGGGACTCCCAGTCACGGCCGGTTGTGACACAGCCTGGGATCGAACCCCAGGCTGTAGTGAAGCAGTGCCTTACACTGCTGAGCCACTCGGGAGGCCCCTATGGTGAAGCTATTAATTACTCTTTGGATGGTGTATCAATACACCCAGTCACTACAAAGCTACAGGCGTCCTTCCTAACTCAGTTGCCGGAGAAGAAGGAAACCGCTCAGGGATTTCACCATGAGGCCAATGGAACTTTAGAACAGTTACAGAGTTTAATGGCTGTGATAGGAGAAAACTGAGGATGGAGCAACAACATTGTAGTTACTCCACAATAGTCCATAGCCTAATGATCAGCCATTGATACATTTTAGTGAAGCAATGGGTGGTTATGTTGACACTACATTTGAATTTGAGTGCTTTATCTAAATCTTACTGATAAGGGTCAACTGTCTTTTAGGGTTGCCTATATAGCACGTGGTTCAGCCCTAGATTCACTTTAGCAGGCCGCTAATATATAGGCTAATATATAGGCTAATGTATAGGCTAATATATAGGCTAATATATAGGCTAATATATAGGCTAATGTATAGGCTAATATATAGGCTAATGTATAGGCTAATATATAGGCTAATATATAGGCTAATATATAGGCTAATATATAGGCTAATGTATAGGCTAATGGATAGGCTAATGTATAGGCTAATGTATAGGCTAATATATAGGCTAATATATACCCTAATATATAGGCTAATGTATAGGCTAATATATAGGCTAATATATAGGCTATACGAAAGATGCAGTAATATATTAATTAACTTCTAACTGACACATCTCTCTGTTTTCTTCACTGTTCCCTTCTTGCGCAATTCACACATCTCCACTGGTAACTCCACTGTTCTATCTCTTCCCCCTCTCTCTAGCTTCACACATCTCCACTGGTAACTCCACTGTTCTATCTCTTCCTCCTCTCTCTAGCTTCACACATCTCCACTGGTAACTCCACTGTTCTATCTCTTCTCCCTCTCTCTAGCTTCACACATCTCCACTGGTAACTCCACTGTTCTATCTCTTCCCCTCTCTCTAGCTTCACACATCTCCACTGGTAACTCCTCTGTTCTATCTCTTCCCCCTCTCTCTAGCTTCACACATCTCCACTGGTAACTCCTCTGTTCTATCTCTTCCCCTCTCTCTAGCTTCACACATCTCCACTGGTAACTCCTCTGTTCTATCTCTTCCCCTCTCTCTAGCTTCACACATCTCCACTGGTAACTCCTCTGTTCTATCTCTTCCCCCTCTCTCTAGCTTCACACATCTCCACTGGTAACTCCTCTGTTCTATCTCTTCCCCCTCTCTCTAGCTTCACACATCTCCACTGGTAACTCCACTGTTCTATCTCTTCCCCCTCTCTCTAGTTCTTGAACGAGTAGCCTATATATAGACAATTAATAGCAATATACACTAACACAAATTTAAACGCAACATGTAACAATTTAAACTATTTTACTGAGTTAAAGTTCATATAAGGAAATAAGTCAATTGAAATAAATTCATTAGGCCCTAATCTATGGATTTCACATGACTTGGAATACAGATATCCATCTGTTGGTCACAGATACTTTTTTTTTTTTTAAAGGTAGGGGTGTGGATCAGAAAACCAGTCAGTATCTGGTGTGACCACGATTTGCCTCATTCAGCGTGACACATCTCCTTCGCATAGAGTTGATCAGGCTATTGATTGTGGCCTGTGGAACGTTGTCCCACTCCTCTTCAATGGCTGTGCGAAGTTGCTGGATATTGGCAGGAAACTGGAACATGCTGTCATACACGTCAATCCAGAGCATCCCAAACATGCTCAATGGGTGACATGTCTGGTGAGTATGCAGGCCATGGAAGAACTGGGACATTTTCAGCTTCCAGGAATTGTGTACAGATCCTTGCGACATGGAGCCGTGCATTATCATGCTGAAAGATGAGGTGATGGCGGCGGATGAATGGCACGACAATGGACCTCAGGATCTCGTCACGGTATCTCTGTCCATTCAAATTGCCATCGATAAAATGCAATTGTGTTTGTTGTCCGTAGCTTATGCCTGCCCATACCATAACCCCACCGCCACCATGGGGCACTCTGTTCACAACGTTGACATCAGCAAACCGCTCGCCCACACGACGCAATACACGCTGTCTTCCATCTGCCCAATGCAGTTGAAACCGGAATTCATCTGTGAAGAACACACTTCTCCAGCGTGCCAGTGGCCATCGAAGGTGAGCATTTGCCAACTGAAGTAATTTACGACGCCAAACTGCAGTCAGGTCAAGACCCTGGTGAGGACGACGAGCACGCAGATGACGGTTTATGACAGTTTGTGCAAACCCACAGTTTCATCAGCTGTTCGGGTGGCTGGTCTCAGACGATCCCGCAGGTGAAGAAGCCGGATGTGGAGGTCCTGGGCTTGCGTGGTTACACGTGGTCTGCGGTTGTGAGGCCGGTTGTACTGCCACATTTTCCAAAACAACATTGGAGGCGGCTTACGGTAGAGAAATTAACATTCAATTATCTGGCAACAGCTCTAGTGGACATTCCTGCAGTCACCATGCCAATTGCACGCTCCCTCAAAACTTGAGATATCTGTGGCATTGTGTTGTGACAAAACGGCACATTTTAGCGTGGCCTTTCATTGTTCCTAGCACAAGGTGCACCTGTGTAATGAGCATGTCAGGTGGATGGATTATCTTGGCAAAGGAGAGATGCTCACTAACAGGGATGTAAACAAATTTGTGCACAAAATTTGCCAGAAATAAGCTTTTTTGTGTGTATGGAAAATGTCTGGGATCTTTTATTTCAGCTCATGTTGCGTTATATTTCTGTTCAGAATAGTTAATCTTATTTTTTTTTTAAACAAAAAAACGAATAGGCCTATTGGAGGAGAGAAGCATTGATGGATCCTCTTGCTGATTGGATATAAAATAGACTACAGCATTGAACTGGCGGGGAAGTTTGAATGACCAGAACGATGTGCAGCTCTGGTGTGATGTGATCACATTGGCTAAATTGATACTTTGCTGCACTGAATCATTGCAAACATAAAAAACAGGCAGAGATAAATTAATTTAGTCATTAATTCACACAACGAACCCACAGACCTGTCAGTGGAAGTTCCCAGATAACAATTTATTTTGGTCAACAGCTTATTTTCGCATGTGAAAAGACGCAAAAAATCTAACCTGTTCCGAATAAATAATTGACAAGTCGTCCAGGTCCTGAGGCAGCAAAGCATCCCCAAACCATCACACCACCACCACCATGCTTGATCTTTGGTATGATGTTCTTACTGTGGAATGCAGTGTTTGGTTTTCGCCAGGCATAATGGGACCCATCTCGTCCAAAAAGTTGACTCAAGTTTGCCAAAAAGCACCTGGATGATCATCAAGACTCTTGGAAGAACGTTCTATGGACAGATGATTCAAAAGTATAACTTTTTGGACGACATGGTTCCAGTAATGCCTGGCGAAAACCAAACTCTGCATTCCACAGTAAGAACATCATACCAAAGGAATCCACTCATTTGAAAGGTGTAGTGTAACACACCTACTCATTCCAGGGTTTTTCTTTATTTTTACTATTTTCTACATTGTAGAATAATAGTGAAGAAATCAAAACTATGAAATAACACATATGGAATCATGTAGTAACCAAAAAAGTGTTAAACAAATCAAAATATATTTTATAGTTTAGATTCTTGGTGTGTCCAAACTTTTGGCTGGTACTTTATGTTAAATGTACAGTTGAAGTCGGAGGTTTACATACACCTTAGCCAAATACATTTAAACTCAGTTTTTCACAATTCCTGACATTTAATCCTAGTAAAAAGTCCCTGTCATTGGTCAGTTAGAATCACCACTTTATTTTAAGAATGTGAAATGTCAGAATAATAGTAGAGAGAATGATTTATTTCAGCTTTTATTTCTTTCATCACATTCCCAGTGGGGTCAGAAGTTTCCATACACTCAACTAGTATTTGGTAGCATTGCCTTTAAATTGTTTAACTTGGGTCAAACGTTTCGGGTAGCCTTCCACAAGCTTCCCACAATAAGTTGGGTGAATTTTGGCCCATTCCTCCTGACAGAGCTGGTGTAACTGAGTCAGGTTTGTAGGCCTCCTTGCTCGCACACGCTTTTTCAGTTCTGCCCACACATTTTCTATAGGATTGAGGTCAGGGCTTTGTGATGGCCACTCCAATACCTTGACTTTGTTGTCCTTAAGCCATTTTGCCACAACTTTGGAAGTATGCTTGGGGTCATTGTCCATTTGGAAGACCCATTTGCGACCAAGCTTTAACTTCCTGACTGATGTCTTGAGATGTTGCTTCAATATATCCACATCATTTTCCTTCCTCATGATGCCATCTATTTTGTGAAGTGCACCAGTCCCTCCTGCAGCAAAGCACCCCCACAACATGATGCTGCCATCCCCGTGCTTCACGGTTGGGATGGTGTTCTTCGGCTTGCAAGCACCCCCTTTTTCCTCCAAACATAACAATGGTCATTATGGCCAAACAGTTCTATTTTTGTTTCATTAGACCAGAGGACATTTCTCCAAAAAGTACGATCTTTGTCCCCATGTGCAGTTGCAAACCGTAGTCTGGCTTTTTTATGGTGGTTTTGGAGCAGTGGCTTCTTCCTTGCTGAGCGGCCTTTCAGGTTATGTTAATATAGGACTCGTTTTACTGTGGATATAGATACTTTTGTACCTGTTTCCTCCAGCATCTTCACAAGGTCCTTTGCTGTTGTTCTGGGATTGATTTGCACTTTTCGCACCAAATTACGTTCATCTCTAGGAGGCAGAACGCGTCTCCTTCCTGAGCGGTGTGACGGCTGCGTGGTCCCATGGTGTTTATACTTGCATACTATTGTTTGTACAGATGAACGTGGTACCTTCAGTGTATGTAAACTTCCGACTTCAACTGTATAGGCCTATAGAGAGAATCAGCGAACAGGGTTGTGGTTTCGATTCCCACGGGGGGCCAGTATTTAAAAAAAATATGTATGCACTCACTAACTGTAAGTCGCTCTGGATAAGAGTGTCTGCTAAATGACTAAAATGTAAATGTACTCCTTGAATATAGCCTCATTACTACCTGGTACCCCTGCTCATTGACTCAGTACTGCTACTCCTTGAATATAGCCTCATTATTGTTATTGTGTTACTATTTCCTTTTTATTTTAGCAAATTGTTCTTACTTTTTAACTCTGCGTTGTTGGTTAAGGGCTCGTCAGGAAGCATTTCACGGTAAAGTCTACACCTGTTGTATTCGACACACGTGACAAAATTTGATTTGATTTAATAGATTACTTCAAACAGAAATTATCACATCAAGGTCGTATTCACTAGAAACCAGGGGGGAAGAAAATGTACCAAAAAGGGGAGGGACTACCTGAACTCATCCAATAAGAAACTCATTTTTATTGCAAAACATTGTCCATTCCAAAACGTTTTGCTACGGGGTGCACTAATGAATACGACCCCAGTGTAAATCAGAGATGAGCTGACAGTCCTATCTCTGTGTTACTCTGTAGGGTCTCGACCCAGTGTAAATCAGAGATGAGCTGACAGTCCTATCTCTGTGTTACTCTGTAGGGTCTCGACCCAGTGTAAATCAGAGATGAGCTGACAGTCCTATCTCTGTGTTACTCTGTAGGGTATCGACCCAGTGTAAATCAGAGATGAGCTGACAGTCCTATCTCTGTGTTACTCTGTAGGGTCTCGACCCAGTGTAAATCAGAGATGAGCTGACAGTCCTATCTCTGTGTTACTCTGTAGGGTCTGCTGGGCCAGAAGCAGGACCTCCTCTCCTCCTCTAAGGACATTGAGGCGTTCCTGAAGAAGCTGGGGGACAGTCTGATCTGGGAGATCCAGATGAAGGTGAGCCACATGGTCATGAAGGTCCGCACGGAGTGCGCCATGAGGTGCCGGAGCCTCCAGGATGGCATGGACGAGCTCAGCGCTCCCCAGAAGGTGAGGATAACAATAACATAACAAGGACATTTGAGTTATATATGTTTGTACATAGAACCCACCACACATTATGTAATGATACATATGCTTGTACCTAAAACCCAAAGTGGACTTATGTTTTTAGAAATGTTTACAAATTAATACTATCTGTCTATCTATCTATCTATCTATCTATGGCTATCTACACTCATGACCAAAAGTATGTGGACACTTGCTGGTCAAACATCTCATTCCAAAACCATGGGCATTAATATGGAGTTGGTCCCCCCCCTTTGCTGCTATAACAGCCTCCACTCTTCTGGGAAGGCTTTCCACTAGATGTTGGAACATTGCTGCAGGGACTTGCTTCCATTCAGCCACAAGAGCATTTGTGAGGTCGGGCACTGATGTTGGGCGATTAGGCCTGGCTCGCAGTCGGCGTTCAAATTCATCCCAAAGGCGTTTGATGGGGTTGAGGTCAGGGCTCTGTGCAGGCCAGTCAAGTTCTTCCACACCGATCTCGACAAACCATTTCTATATGGACCTCCCTTTGTGCACGTGGGCATTGTCATGCTGAAACAGGAAAGGGCCTTTCCCAAACTGTTGCCACAAAGTTGGAAGCACAGAATCGGCTAGAATATCATTGTATGCTGTAGCGTTAAGATTTCCCTTCACTGGAACTAAAGGGCCTAGCCCGAACCATGAAAAACAGCCTCAGACCATTATTCCTCCTCCACCAAACTTTACAGTTAGCACTATGCATTCAGGCAGGTAGCCTTCCCCCGGTATCTGCCAAACCCAGATTTGTCCATCGGACTGCCAGATGAAGTGTGATTCATCACTCCGAGAACGCGTTTCCACTGCTCCAGAGTCCAATGTCGGCATTGCGCATAGTGATCTTAGGCTTGTGTGCGGCTGCTCGGCCATGGAAACCCATTTCATGAAGCTCCAGACGAACAGTTCTTGTGCTGATGTTGCTTCCAGAGGCAGTTTGGAACTCTGTAGTGAGTGTTGCAACCGAGGCCACATGATTTCTACGCGCTTCAGAACTCAGCGGTCCCGTTCTGTGAGCTTGTGTGGCCTACCACTTCACGGCTGAGCCGTTGTTGCTCCTAGACGTTTCCACTTCACAATAACAGCACTTACAGTTGACCGGGGCAGCTCTAGCAGGGCAGACATTTTTTGACCACTAGATGGCAGCAGTGTGTGTGCAAAGTTTCAGATTGATCCAGTGAAGAGTTGCAATACTGGACTATTTTGTATCAAGTCTGCCCAAATGTGCCGAATTGGTCAATTGATACATTTTCAAGTACATACAGTGGGGAAAAAAAGTATTTAGTCAGCCACCAATTGTGCAAGTTCACCCACTTAAAAAGATGAGAGAGGCCTGTAATTTTCATCATAGGTACACGTCAACTATGACAGACAAATTGAGGAAAAAAATTCCAGAAAATCACATTGTAGGATTTTTTATTAATTTATTAGCAAATTATGGTGGAAAATAAGTATTTGGTCACCTACAAACAAGCAAGATTTCTGGCTCTCACAGACCTGTAACTTCTTCTTTAAGAGGCTCCTCTGTCCTCCACTCATTACCTGTATTAATGGCACCTGTTTGAACTTGTTATCAGTATAAAAGACACCTGTCCACAACCTCAAACAGTCACACTCCAAACTCCACTATGGCCAAGACCAAAGAGCTGTCAAAGGACACCAGAAACAAAATTGTAGACCTGCACCAGGTTGGGAAGACTGAATCTGCAATATGTAAGCAGCTTGGTTTGAAGAAATCAACTGTGGGAGCAATTATTAGGAAATGGAAGACATACAAGACCACTGATAATCTCCCTCGATCTGGGGCTCCACGCAAGTTCTCACCCCGTGGGGTCAAAATGATCACAAGAACGGTGAGCAAAAATCCCACAACCACACGGGGGGACCTAGTGAATGACCTGCAGGGAGCTTGGACCAAAGTAACAAAGCCTACCATCAGTAACACACTACGCCGCCAGGGACTCAAATCCTGCAGTGCCAGACGTGTCCCCCTGCTTAAGCCAGTACATGTCCAGGCCCGTCTGAAGTTTGCTAGAGTGCATTTGGATGATCCAGAAGAGGATTGGGAGAATGTCATATGGTCAGATGAAACCAAAATATAACTTTTTGGTAAAATCTCAACTCGTCGTGTTTGGAGGACAAAGAATGCTGAGTTGCATCCAAAGAACACCATACCTACTGTGAAGCATGGGGGTGGAAACATCATGCTTTGGGGCTGTTTTTCTGCAAAGGGACCAGGACGACTGATCCGTGTAAAGGAAAGAATGAATGGGGTCATGTATCGTGAGATTTTGAGTCAAAACCTCCTTCCATCAGCAAGGGCATTGAAGATGAAACGTGGATGGGTCTTTCAACATGACAATGATCCCAAACACACCGCCCGGGCAACGAAGGAGTGGCTTCGTAAGAAGCATTTCAAGGTCCTGGAGTGGCCTAGCCAGTCTCCAGATCTCAACCCCATAGAAAATCTTTGGAGGGAGTTGAAAGTCTGTGTTGCCCAGCGACAGCCCCAAAACATCACTGCTCTAGAGGAGATCTGCATGGAGGAATGGGCCAAAATACCAGCAACAGTGTGTGAAAACCTTGTGAAGACTTACAGAAAACGTTTGACCTGTGTCATTACCAACAAAGGGTATATAACAAAGTATTGAGAAACTTTTGTTATTGACCAAATACTTATTTTCCACCATAATTAGCAAATAAATTCATAAAAAATCCTACAATGTGATTTTCTGGATTTTTTTTTCTCATTTTGTCTGTCATAGTTGACGTGTACCTATGATGAAAATTACAGGCCTTTCTCATCTTTTTAAGTGGAAGAACTTGCACAATTGGTGGCTGACTAAATAGTTTTTTTCCCCACTGTAACTATAGAGAACATACAAAAAGTATATGGTAATACAAAATGTAAGTTTACACCCTCCCAGGAATGTCATACATGATGGATCATTAGCTTATACACTAACTTTCACACATCTAGATGGCCGGGCGAGGTGGGTGAGGAGCCAGAGACAGCATGGGGTTCAAACTGTACAACCCAGTGCCTACATTTTTATATAAAAATTGATTTTATCAAACAAAGCTATGCTACATTTTATCTCTGGGACCCTCAGGATGACAAATCAGAGCAAGATTACTGAATGTAAGTACATTATTTACCTTCAGAGGTGAATGTATCAAACCAGTTGCCGTGATACGTTTTGTTGTTGTTGTGCACTCTCCTCAAACAATAGCATGGTCTTTTTTCACTGTAATAGCTACTGTAAATTGGACAGTGCAGTTAGATTAACAAGAATTTAAGCTTTCTGCCCATATAAGACATGTCTATGTCCTGGAAAGGTTGCTGTTACTTACAACAATCATGCTAATCACATTAGCGCACGTTAGCTCAACCGTCCCGTATACGGGACACCGATCCCGTAGAGGTTAAGTATCAAAAGTAAAAGTATAAATCATTTCAAATTCCTTATATTAAGAAAACCAGACAGCACAATGTTTTTATTTTTATTTACAGATAGCCAGGGGCACACTCCAACACTCAGACATCATTTACAAATGAAGCATGTGTTTAGTGAGTCCGGCAGATCAGAGGCAGTAGGGATGACCAGGGATGTTCTCTTGATAAGTGTGTGAATTAGACCATTTTCCTGTCCTGCTAAGCATTCGAAATGTAACAAGTACTTTTGGGTGTCAGGGAAAATATATGGCGTAAAATTACATAATTTTCATTTGAAATGTAGTGAAGTGAAGTACAGTTACCCCAAAAAACTACTTAAGTAGTGCTTTAAAGTATTTTCACACCACTGAGTACGGGAAAATAGAATACAGATGCTCTTCCCCTCTGCTCCTCTCTAAACAATGTGCTCTGTGTAGCAGGTAGATCATCACATTGACACTGAGTCTTCTTCTGTGGAGTTTAATGGCGGTTGGCATCCAATATGTTGCATTACCGCCCCCAACTGGACTATAGTAGAAATCCACTACAATGTGTGATACAAAAGGGGAAACAGGAAAAATAAAATTACAAATATATTTGTATTCACTCTACCAACTAACCCTACACTCATTAAAACCCACCACCTTCATTCCACTACTTAACCCTATCTGATCCTACCCCAGACCAACGACCTGGGAGGACAGAACACCACCACTCAACACACCCTGTAAGTCAAATCTCGTACCCCCAAGTACTTCTCTGCAGCTGCCACCACAACATCTATGTTCTGTGACTTACGTTCCATCTCTGCGGTACAGTTGATAACCATTGCTATGAACGCTACGAAGCCAACCTTACTGAAACATATATCACTCATTGGCCGATCCCTCTGTTCTGGCACAGATCTACTATTCACAGGGATCCTCTCAGAATCCCTCACCCTTGATCCACCCTCCTCTCCTTTCTTCACTGTCTCAGCATGTGCCATCTTCTGCACTACTCTGACCCTGATTGCAAAGTAACGCAACGCTTATAGTGGAGCTGAAGCACAGATAGCGGGAGGCTGTAGACATATAATAATAATAATAATATGCCATTTAGCTGAAGCTTTTATCCAAAGCGACTTACAGTCATGTGTGCATACATTTTTACGTATGGGTGGTCCCGGGGATCGAACCCACTACCCTGGCGTTACAAGCGCCGTGCTCTACCAGCTGAGCTACAGAGGTTGCTCAATTAGAACAATGAGCCAGATATTTCACCTGATGTATAAATGTGAAGCATCCAGTTGGCGTTTCCAATCACTACCAAATCTGCTGATGAAAGGAAGCCCAGTGGCCGGCAGTGGGAGAAGATGGAGCGAGATGGATTTTGGCCGACATTCTCCAAATGTTCTCATTTATGAAAGATTTGATCTCCATACAGTTTTCTGTTTCCAAAACTATAACCTGTAACTTTACCATTTGGCAAAGTTTTTAAAAAATGGTGTTGTTTAGAAGGAGTGCAACGGTGAATTTAGTTATTGCACACGCACACTTCAGAATAGGCGTTCCCTAACGGAAATATGCAAATAAATGCTAGAATGGGCCAATAGGATCTCACTAGCTCGTGCTTGGCTCTGCCCACTATGATTCATTTGCTCCCATTGGAAACGAAAGGCTCTGGTCTATCTTGGGTTAGTTATAAAAAATCTTTGCCTGAAATAACCCTAACCCGATGGCAACTGCGTTCCCTTGTTGCAGCAGGTATTAAACCTGATCTAATGCATCCACTGTTACATCATCTTTCTTGGAAATTTAAATTCACTTCAGGTTTGGTGATGAATTGGTACATACAAGACGCATAACAACATAACACTAAAATATGTAGTCTACAGTATAAAGAACGTGTTGTTTTTTTCTGGTACAATATCTAATCAAATGTATGCATTAATTCATTCAAGGTCCACACTGAGATGAAGAAACATGTGGAGGCCTGTCAGAGCCCTGTTGACTTCCTGAAGGGAGAGAGGCGGCTGCACAGAGAGGCCGAGAAGGTAATGGAATGTTCTGGACTTTTCATCATCACCATGTAGCCGCAGTCGACCAGTCCGTTGTTTTTTAATCAGTAGATGTTTTTCTGTTTGACCAGAGGACCCCTTTGGGAATAACCCACTGGGCACAGACATCAGTTCAACATCTACTTTTGATTTACATTTTGGTTGAGTTGGCAATTCAACGTGTAATCAACCAAAACATTCACCCGGTGGATTTAGGTTAAAAGTTGGATGAAAAAAAAGACAAAATTCAAATCAAAATCAAATGTAATTATATTTGTCACGTGCTTCGTAAACAACAGGTGGAGACTAACAGTGAAATGCTTCCTGACGGGTCCTTCCCAACAACAGGTGGAGACTAACAGTGAAATGATTACTGACGGGTCCTTCCCAACAACAGGTGGAGACTAACAGTGAAATGCTTCCTGACGGGTCCTTCCCAACAACAGGTGGAGACTAACAGTGAAATGCTTCCTGACGGGTCCTTCATAACAACAGGTGGAGACTAACAGTGAAATGCTTCCTGACGGGTCCTTCCCAACAACAGGTGGAGACTAACAGTGAAATGCTTCCTGACGGGTCCTTCCCAACAACAGGTGGAGACTAACAGTGAAATGCTTCCTGACGGGTCCTTCCCAACAACAGGTGGAGACTAACAGTGAAATGCTTCCTGACGGGTCCTTCCCAACAACAGGTGGAGACTAACAGTGAAATGCTTCCTGACGGGTCCTTCATAACAACAGGTGTAGACTAACAGTGAAATGCTTCCTGACGGGTCCTTCCCAACAACAGGTGTAGACTAACAGTGAAATGCTTCCTGACGGGTCCTTCCCAACAACAGGTGGAGACTAACAGTGAAATGCTTCCTGGCGGGTCCTTCATAACAACAGGTGGAGACTAACAGTGAAATGCTTCCTGACGGGTCCTTCCCAACAACAGGTGGAGACTAACAGTGAAATGCTTCCTGACGGGTCCTTCCCAACAACAGGTGGAGACTAACAGCGAAATGATTACTGACGGGTCCTTCCCAACAACAGGTGGAGACTAACAGTGAAATGCTTCCTGACGGGTCCTTCCCAACAACAGGTGGAGACTAACAGTGAAATGCTTCCTGACGGGTCCTTCCCAACAACAGGTGGAGACTAACAGCGAAATGATTACTGACGGGTCCTTCCCAACAACAGGTGGAGACTAACAGTGAAATGCTTCCTGACGGGTCCTTCATAACAACAGGTGGAGACTAACAGTGAAATGCTTCTTGACGGGTCCTTCCCAACAACAGGTGGAGACTAACAGTGAAATGCTTCCTGACGGGTCCTTCATAACAACAGGTGGAGACTAACAGTGAAATGCTTCCTGACGGGTCCTTCCCAACAACAGGTGGAGACTAACAGTGAAATGCTTCCTGACGGGTCCTTCCCAACAACAGGTGGAGACTAACAGTGAAATGCTTCCTGGCGGGTCCTTCATAACAACAGGTGGAGACTAACAGTGAAATGCTTCCTGACGGGTCCTTCCCAACAACAGGTGGAGACTAACAGTGAAATGCTTCCTGACGGGTCCTTCCCAACAACAGGTGGAGACTAACAGCGAAATGATTACTGACGGGTCCTTCCCAACAACAGGTGGAGACTAACAGTGAAATGCTTCCTGACGGGTCCTTCCCAACAACAGGTGGAGACTAACAGTGAAATGCTTCCTGACGGGTCCTTCCCAACAACAGGTGGAGACTAACAGCGAAATGATTACTGACGGGTCCTTCCCAACAACAGGTGGAGACTAACAGTGAAATGCTTCCTGACGGGTCCTTCCCAACAACAGGTGGAGACTAACAGTGAAATGCTTCCTGACGGGTCCTTCCCAACAACAGGTGGAGACTAACAGTGAAATGCTTCCTGACGGGTCCTTCCCAACAACAGGTGGAGACTAACAGTGAAATGCTTCCTGACGGGTCCTTCCCAACAACAGGTGGAGACTAACAGTGAAATGCTTCCTGACGGGTCCTTCCCAACAACAGGTGGAGACTAACAGTGAAATGCTTCCTGACAGGTCCTTCATAACAACAGGTGGAGACTAACAGTGAAATGCTTCCTGACGGGTCCTTCCCAACAACAGGTGGAGACTAACAGTGAAATGCTTCCTGACGGGTCCTTCATAACAACAGGTGGAGACCAACAGTGAAATGCTTCCTGACGGGTCCTTCCCAACAACAGGTGGAGACTAACAGTGAAATGCTTCCTGACGGGTCCTTCATAACAACAGGTGGAGACTAACAGTGAAATGCTTCCTGACGGGTCCTTCCTAACAACAGGTGGAGACTAACAGTGAAATGCTTCCTGACGGGTCCTTCATAACAACAGGTGTAGACTAACAGTGAAATGCTTCCTGACGGGTCCTTCATAACAACAGGTGGAGACTAACAGTGAAATGCTTCCTGACGGGTCCTTCCCAACAACAGGTGTAGACTAACAGTGAAATGATTACTGACGGGGTCCTTCCCAACAACAGGTGGAGACTAACAGTGAAATGATTACTGACGGGTCCTTCCCAACAACAGGTGTAGACTAACAGTGAAATGCTTCCTGACGGGCCTTCCCAACAACAGGTGGAGACTAACAGTGAAATGATTACTGACGGGTCCTTCCCAACAACAGGTGGAGACTAACAGTGAAATGCTTCCTGACGGGTCCTTCCCAACAACAGGTGGAGACTAACAGTGAAATGCTTCCTGACGGGTCCTTCCCAACAACAGGTGGAGACTAACAGTGAAATGATTACTGACGGGTCCTTCCCAACAACAGGTGGAGACTAACAGTGAATGCTTCCTGACGGGTCCTTCCCAACAACAGGTGGAGACTAACAGTGAAATGCTTCCTGACGGGTCCTTCCCAACAACAGGTGAGACTAACAGTGAAATGCTTCCTGACGGGTCCTTCCCAACAACAGGTGTAGACTAACAGTGAAATGATTACTGACGGGTCCTTCCCAACAACAGGTGGAGACTAACAGTGAAATGATTACTGACGGGTCCTTCCCAACAACAGGTGTAGACTAACAGTGAAATGCTTCCTGACGGGTCCTTCCCAACAACAGGTGGAGACTAACAGTGAAATGATTACTGACGGGTCCTTCCCAACAACAGGTGGAGACTAACAGTGAAATGATTACTGACGGGTCCTTCCCAACAACAGGTGGAGACTAACAGTGAAATGATTACTGACGGGTCCTTCCCAACAACAGGTGGAGACTAACAGTGAAATGATTACTGACGGGTCCTTCCCAACAACAGGTGGAGACTAACAGTGAAATGCTTCCTGACGGGTCCTTCCCAACAACAGGTGTAGACTAACAGTGAAATGATTACTGACGGGTCCTTCCCAACAACAGGTGGAGACTAACAGTGAAATGATTACTGACGGGTCCTTCCCAACAACAGGTGTAGACTAACAGTGAAATGCTTCCTGACGGGTCCTTCCCAACAACAGGTGGAGACTAACAGTGAAATGCTTCCTGACGGGTCCTTCCCAACAACAGGTGGAGACTAACAGTGAAATGCTTCCTGACGGGTCCTTCCCAACAACAGGTGGAGACTAACAGTGAAATGCTTCCTGACGGGTCCTTCATAACAACAGGTGGAGACTAACAGTGAAATGCTTCCTGACGGGTCCTTCCCAACAACAGGTGGAGACTAACAGTGAAATGCTTCCTGACGGGTCCTTCCCAACAACAGGTGGAGACTAACAGCGAAATGATTACTGACGGGTCCTTCCCAACAACAGGTGGAGACTAACAGTGAAATGCTTCCTGACGGGTCCTTCATAACAACAGGTGGAGACTAACAGTGAAATGCTTCTTGACGGGTCCTTCCCAACAACAGGTGGAGACTAACAGTGAAATGCTTCCTGACGGGTCCTTCCCAACAACAGGTGGAGACTAACAGTGAAATGCTTACTGACGGGTCCTTCCCAACAACAGGTGGAGACTAACAGTGAAATGATTACTGACGGGTCCTTCCCAACAACAGGTGGAGACTAACAGTGAAATGCTTCCTGACGGGTCCTTCCTAACAACAGGTGGAGACTAACAGTGAAATGCTTCCTGACGGGTCCTTCCCAACAACAGGTGGAGACTAACAGTGAAATGCTTCCTGACGGGTCTTTCCCAACAACAGGTGGAGACTAACAGTGAAATGCTTCCTGACGGGTCCTTCATAACAACAGGTGGAGACTAACAGTGAAATGCTTCCTGACGGGTCCTTCCCAACAACAGGTGGAGACTAACAGTGAAATGCTTCCTGACGGGTCCTTCATAACAACAGGTGGAGACTAACAGTGAAATGCTTCCTGACGGGTCCTTCCTAACAACAGGTGGAGACTAACAGTGAAATGCTTCCTGACGGGTCCTTCATAACAACAGGTGGAGACTAACAGTGAAATGCTTCCTGACGGGTCCTTCATAACAACAGGTGTAGACTAACAGTGAAATGCTTCCTGACGGGTCCTTCATAACAACAGGTGGAGACTAACAGTGAAATGCTTCCTGACGGGTCCTTCCCAACAACAGGTGTAGACTAACAGTGAAATGATTACTGACGGGTCCTTCCCAACAACAGGTGGAGACTAACAGTGAAATGATTACTGACGGGTCCTTCCCAACAACAGGTGTAGACTAACAGTGAAATGCTTCCTGACGGGTCCTTCCCAACAACAGGTGGAGACTAACAGTGAAATGCTTCCTGACGGGTCCTTCCCAACAACAGGTGGAGACTAACAGTGAAATGCTTCCTGACGGGTCCTTCCCAACAACAGGTGGAGACTAACAGTGAAATGCTTCCTGACGGGTCCTTCCCAACAACAGGTGTAGACTAACAGTGAAATGATTACTGACGGGTCCTTCCCAACAACAGGTGGAGACTAACAGTGAAATGATTACTGACGGGTCCTTCCCAACAACAGGTGTAGACTAACAGTGAAATGCTTCCTGACGGGTCCTTCCCAACAACAGGTGGAGACTAACAGTGAAATGATTACTGACGGGTCCTTCCCAACAACAGGTGGAGACTAACAGTGAAATGATTACTGACGGGTCCTTCCCAACAACAGGTGGAGACTAACAGTGAAATGATTACTGACGGGTCCTTCCCAACAACAGGTGGAGACTAACAGTGAAATGATTACTGACGGGTCCTTCCCAACAACAGGTGGAGACTAACAGTGAAATGCTTCCTGACGGGTCCTTCCCAACAACAGGTGTAGACTAACAGTGAAATGATTACTGACGGGTCCTTCCCAACAACAGGTGGAGACTAACAGTGAAATGATTACTGACGGGTCCTTCCCAACAACAGGTGTAGACTAACAGTGAAATGCTTCCTGACGGGTCCTTCTCAACAACAGGTGGAGACTAACAGTGAAATGCTTCCTGACGGGTCCTTCCCAACAACAGGTGGAGACTAACAGTGAAATGCTTCCTGACGGGTCCTTCCCAACAACAGGTGTAGACTAACAGTGAAATGATTACTGACGGGTCCTTCCCAACAACAGGTGGAGACTAACAGTGAAATGATTACTGACGGGTCCTTCCCAACAACAGGTGTAGACTAACAGTGAAATGCTTCCTGACGGGTCCTTCCCAACAACAGGTGGAGACTAACAGTGAAATGATTACTGACGGGTCCTTCCCAACAACAGGTGGAGACTAACAGTGAAATGATTACTGACGGGTCCTTCCCAACACAGGTGTAGACTAACAGTGAAATGCTTCCTGACGGGTCCTCCATAACAACAGGTGGAGACTAACAGTGAAATGCTTCCTGACGGGTCCTTCCCAACAACAGGTGGAGACTAACAGTGAAATGCTTCCTGACGGGTCCTTCCCAACAACAGGTGTAGACTAACAGTGAAATGCTTCCTGACGGGTCCTTCCCAACAACAGGTGGAGACTAACAGTGAAATGATTACTGACGGGTCCTTCCCAACAACGAGGGGAGACTCAACAGTGAAATGCTTCCTGGACGGGTCCTTCCCCACCAACAGGTGGAGACTAACATAAAGTGAAATGATTAACTGACGGGTCCCTTCCCAACAACAGGTGGAGACTAAACAGGTGAACATGATTACAATGACGTGGGTCCTTCCCAAACAACAGGGTGGAGACTAAACCAGTGAAATGATTACTGCTGACGGGTTCCTCCCAACAAACAGGTGGAGACTAACAGTGAAATGATTACTGACTGGGTCCATTTCCAACAACATGGTGGAGACTAAACGTGAAAATGATTAACTGACGGGTCCTTCCTAACAATGCAGAGAAAAATAGAAATAACTAACACAAGGATAAAATACACAAATGACGGCTATAAACACAGAGAGTACTTGAGTCGATGTGTAGGCGGTACCGAGTAGCCGATGCGATGGTTGAGGCCCCGGGGGTACCAGTACCGAGGTCGATTGTGACAGTGGGTACCAGTACCGAGAGTCGATGTGCAGGGGGTACGAAGTAACTTAGTCGATGTGCAGGGGTACGAGTACCGAGTCGATGTGCAGGGGTACCAGGGTACCAGTACCGAGTCGATGTGCAGGGGTACCAGTACCGAGTCGATGTGCAGGGGTACCATTACCGAGTCGATGTGCAGGGGTACCAGTACCGAGTCGATGTGCAGGGGTACCAGTACCGAGTCGATGTGCAGGGGTACCAGTACCGAGTCGATGTGCAGGGGTACGAGTACCGAGTCGATGTGCAGGGGTACGAGTACCGAGTCGATGTGCAGGGGTACGAGTACCGAGTCGATGTGCAGGGGTACGAGGACTGAGTCGATGTGCAGGGATACGAGTACCGAGTCGATGTGCAGGGGTACCAGTACCGAGTCGATGTGCAGGGGTACCAGTACCTAACGAGTCGATGTGCAGGGGTACCAGTACCGAGTCGATGTGCAGGGGTACCAGTACCGAGTCGATGTGCAGGGGTACCAGTACCGAGTCGATGTGCAGGGGTACCAGTACCGAGTCGATGTGCAGGGGTACCAGTACCGAGTCACTGTGCAGGGGTACCAGGTTATTGAGGTATATGTACATACAGTGGCAAGAAAAAGTATGTGAACCCTTTGGAATTACCTGGATTTCTGCATAAATTGGTCATAAAATTTGATCTGATCTTCATTTAAGTCACAACAATAAATAAACACAGTGTGCTTAAACTAATAACTCACACATAATTGTATTTTTCTTGTCTATATTGAATACATCATTTGAACATTCCCAGTGTAGGTTGGACAAAGTATGGCTAATGACTTAAAAACTTATCCGAAAGCTAATTGGAGTCAGGAGTCAGCTGACCTGGAGTCCAACCAATGAGACGAGATTGGAGATGTTGGTTAGAGCTGCCCTATAAAAAACACTCACAAAATTTGAGTTTGCTATTCACAAGAAGCATTGCCTGATGTGAACCATGCCTCGAACAAAAGAAATCTCAGAAGACCTAAGATTAAGAATTGTTGACTTGCATAAAGCTGGAAAGGGTTACAAAAATATCTCTAAAAGCCTTGATGTTCATCAGTCCACGGTAAGACATATTGTCTATAAAATTGAGAAAGTTCAGGAGTGTTGCTACTCTCCCTAGGAGTGGCCGTCCTGCAGAGATGACTGCAAGAGCACAGCGCAGAACGCTCAACGAGGTTAAGAAGAGTCCTAGAGTGTCAGCTAAAGACTTACAGAAATCTCTGGAACATGCTAACATCTCTGTTGACGAGTCTACGATGCGTAAAACACTAAACAAGAATGGTGTTCATGGGAGGGCACCACGGAAGAAGCCACTGCTGTCCAAAAAAACCATTGCTGCGCGTCTGAAGTTCGCAAAAGAGCACCTGGATGTTCCACAGCACTACTGGCAAAATATTCTGTGGACAGATGAAACTAAAGTTGAGTTGTTTGGAAGGAACACAACACTATGTGTGGAGATAAAAAGGCACAGCACCCCAACATCAAAACCTCCCAACTGTAAAGTATGGTGGAGGGAGCATCATGGTTTGGGGCTGCCTCAGGGCCTGGACAGCTTGCTATCATCGGCGGAAAAATGAATTCCCAAGTTTATCAAGACATTTTGAAGGAGAATGTAAGGCTATCTGTCCACCAATTGAAGTTCAACAGAAGTTGAGTGATGCAACAGGACAACGACCCAAAACCCAGAAGTAAATCAACAACAGAATGGCTTCAACAGAGGAAAATACGCCTTCTGGAGTGGCCCAGTCAGAGTCCCGACCTCAACCCGATTGAGATGCTGTGGCGTGACCTCAAGACAGCGGTTCACACCAGACAAGAATATTGCTGAACTGAAACAGTTTTGTAAAGAGGAATGGTCCAGAATTCCTCCTGACCGCTGTGCAGGTCTGATCCGCAACTACAGAAAAGGTTTGGTTGAGGTTATTGCTGCCAAAGGAGGGTCAACCAGTTATTAAATCCAAGGGTTCACATACTTTTTACATGGTGTGTTCAATAAAGACATGAAAACGTATAATTGTTTGTGTGTTATTAGTTTAAACAGACTGTGTTTGTCTATTGTTCTGACCAATTAATCCAGGTAATTCCAAAGGGTTCACAGAAATCCATGTAATTCCAAAGGGTTCACAGAAATCCAGGTAATTCCAAAGGGTTCACAGAAATCCAGGTAATTCCAAAGGGTTGACAGAAATCCAGGTAATTCCAAAGGGGGGGGGGGGGGGGGGGTAGTAAAGTGACTAGGCACTAGATAAAACAGTAGCAGCAGCATATGTGAGGAGTCAAAAGAGTTAAAAAAGGGGTCAATTTCAGATAGTTAACCAATAGCTACCCAGGCTATTTAACAAACTATTTAGCAGTCTTATGGCTTGGGGGTAGAAGATGTTCAGGGTCCTGTTGATTCTAGACTTGGTACATCGGTACCACTTGCCGTGCGGTAGCAGAGAGAACAGTCTATGACTTGGGTGGCTGGAGTCTTTGACACCACCTGGTATAAAGGTCCTGGATGACAGGGAGCTTGGCCCTAGTGATGTACTGGGCCGTACACACTACCCTCTGTAGTGCCTTACGGTCAGATGTCAATCAGTTGCCATACCAGGCGGTGATGCAGCCAGTCAGGATGGTCTCAATGGTGCAGCTGTAGAACCTTTTGAGGATCTGAGGGCATATGTATCTTTTCAGCCTCCTGAGGCGTGCTCGGCCCTCCGTTTCCTGTAGTCCATGATCAGCACCTTTGTCTTGCTAATGTTGAGGGAGAGGTTGTTGTCCTGGCACCACACGGCCAGGTCTCTAACCTCTCTGTAGGCTGTCTCATCTTCGTCAGTGATCAGGCCTATCACTGTTGTGTTGTCGGCAAACTTAATGATGGTGTTGGAGTCGTGTGCGGCCACGCAGTCGTGGGTGAACAGGGAGTACAGGAGGGGACTGAGCACGCACCCCTGAGGGGCCCCATGTTGAGGGTCAGTGAGGTGGATGTGTTGTTACCTACCCTCACCACCTGGGGGCATCCTGTCAGGAAGTTCAGGATCCAGTTGCAGAAGGAGGTTAATCCCAGGGTCCTTAGCTTAGTTATGAGCTTGGAGGGATGATGGTGTTGATGTGAGTGCTACGATAGTCATTTAGACAGGTTACCTTGGTGTTCTTAGGCACAGGGACTATGGTGGTCTGCTTGAAACATGTATTACAGACTGGGTCAGGGAGAGGTTGAACATGTCAGTGAAGACACTTGCCAGCTGCTCAGCATGCTTGGAGTACGCATCCTGGTAATCCGTCTGGCCCTGCGGCCTTGTGAATGTTGACCTTTTTAAAGGTCTTACATCAGATACGTAGTGCGTGATCACACAGTCATCCAGAACATCTGTTGCTCTCATGCGTGGTTCTGTGTTGCTAGCCTCAAAGCGAGCATAGAAGGTATTTAGCTTGTCTGGTAGGCTCGCGTCACTGGGCAGCTTGCGGCTCGTTTCCTTTTGTAAACCGTTTGCAAGCCCAGCCACATCTGATGAGTGTCAGAGCCGGTGTAGTAGGATTTGATCTTGATGGTTCATCGGAGGGCATAGCAGGATTTCTTATAAGCATCCGGATTAGTGTCCCACTCCTTAAAAGCGGCAGCTCTAGTCTTTAGCTCAGTGTGGATGTTGCCTGTAATCCATGGCTTCTGGTTGGGATATGTACGGACGGTCACTGTGGGGACGACATCGTTGATGCACTTATTAAGTAAACTCCTCAATGCCATCGGATGAATCCCGGAACATATTCCAGTCTGTGCTAGTGAAACTGTCATGTAGCTTAGCATCCACTTCATCTGACCACTTCTATATTGAACTCGTCCCTGGTACTTCCTGTTTGAGTTTTGTATGAGTATCTGTGAATAGAATAAATCTACAGTTTATTCGTCTCTACTTGCCAAGGTGACATGCTGGTAGAAATTTGGTTTTCCTGCATTAAAGTCACCGGCCACTAGGAGTGCCGCCTCTGGGTGAGCATTGTCTTGTTCACTTATGGCCCTATACAGCTGGTTGAGTGTCAGTATCGGTTTGTGGTGGTAAACAGACAGCTTCAAAAAATATAGATGAAAACTCTCTGTTTGGTCTACAGCTTATCACGAGGTATTCTAACTCAGGTGAGAAGAACCTCCAGACTTCCTTAATATTAGAGATCGCGCACCACTTGGTGTTAACAAAGAGACACACACCCCCTCTGAGCTTCCCCGACGCCACCGTTCTGTCCTGCCGATGCGTAGAAAAACCAGCTAGATTTATATTTACTATGTGCTTGTTCAGCCACGACTGGGAGAAACAGGATATTACAGTTCTTCAGATCATGTTGATAGGATAGTCTCGAACTGAGCTCATCCAGTTTATTCTCCAGTGATTGCACGTTGGCCAATAGAACTGAGGGTAGAGGCCGTTTATCCACTCTCCGATGTAGTCTCGTCAGGTATCCCGCACCCCGGCCTCCATAGCGTCGTCTCCTCCTTCTTAGAGTGTCGGGGATCTGGGCCTGCTCCGGGATAATCAATATGTCTTTTGTCTCCGACTCATTGAAGTAGAAGTCCTCGTCCAAATCGAGGTTAGTTATCGCTGTTCTGATTTCCAGAAGCTCTTTTCAGTCATAGAAAACAATGGCGGAAACATTATCTACAAACAAAGTTACGAAAAGCGCCAACAAATACACAAAATAGCACAATTGGTCAGCAGCCCGTAAAACAGCCACCATTCCCCCAATATAATGTTGATTACTTTTTGCAAATCAAATCAGTTTTCCACATTTATTCAAAGTCATCCAATTGAATTTTGAGGTTGAAATGACGTGGTTGATTCAACCAGTTTTTGCCCATTGAGAAGAGTTTTCCTTTGGGATAATAATTATATATGAATGTTTTGTTTACAGTCATGCGTACATACATTTTACGTATGGGTGGCCCTGGGAAGCGAACCCACAACCCAGGCGTTGCAAGCGCCATGCTCTACCAACTGAGCAATACAGTACCACAATGTATCTTGTATTTTTTTACTTGGAGCAGGTCCTGGAGCCAGTGGACTGGTCAGCCCAGTACAGAGAGTCCATCTCCCTGGGTCAGTACGTAGAGGACCTGATGTCCGGCATTGACATCCGCAGGATGGGCACCGTGAGAGGGAAGAGCCTGGTCAAGAACATCTCTCAGGACCTCAAGGCCTGGAGGTACAGAAGAAGAAGAAAATATGTATTTGAATTTATAATTGTTGTTTGTTTTATTCATATATTAAATGTGTGAAATAATTCCACCTCCCTGCCACTGACACTCTGTAATGCCTTTAAATACAATAATCTCTCTCTCCATCAGGTCTGGGCGGACCAGCTTTGACCCGATGGCCTACAGGAGTTTGGACGTCATGCTGACCAAGACGGCCTCCCTGGTGGAGCAGGGCGAGGAGGACTCCGACTCTGACACCTGCCTCAGCTGGGAGATACACAGCTCCTCTGAAGAGGAGGGGGCCACCGGAGACACCAAACACAAAGCTTGAGAATACAGTAAAATATGCCACTGTGTCCAGTTGTCAAGACAACAGATATTAAATACACTATCTCTATTTTGTCAAACGGTCTCTGTCCCTTTTCTTCCTGGAATTCATCAAATGGCTTTTCAGTACCTTTGAAATGAAATCAGCGTTTCAAGAGTTGACTGTGAGTGCACCCCATTGTGACCATGGAGTCAGCGTTGACTGTGAGTGCACCACATTGTGGCCATGGAGTCAGCGTTGACTGTGAGTGCACCCCATTGTGGCCATGGAGTCAGCGTTGACTGTGAGTGCACCCCATTGTGGCCATGGAGTCAGCGTTGACTGTGAGTGCACCCCATTGTGACCATGGAGTAAACCTCATGTTGCAGTTTAGTTCTCACTGTCAATTCATCACACCGGTGACAGTTGGTTAAACTCCATAACTTGCTGTATGCATGTATGAGCCTATATAATGTATAATAATAATCTAAACTATTATACAACAAGCAAACTGTCAAAGAAAGCGTCTTAGCTAAACTGGCACCCATAGGTGTTGTGCTATACTGGCACCCATAGGTGGTGGGCTATACTGGCACCCATAGGTGTTGTGCTATACTGGCACCCATAGGTGGTGGGCTATACTGGCACCCATAGGTGGTGGGCTATACTGGCACCCATAGGTGGTGGGCTATACTGGCACCCATAGGTGGTGGGCTATAATGACACCCATAGGTGGTGGGCCATAGCAAGCCATCTGCTTTAGTTTTCCAGATGATCAATCTCTGTCAAGGGAGGAGCTGGTTTTCACATATTGTGTATATTCTTGCAATTTTTTTCAAAATACTTCCTTTTATGTTCACTGGCTGGACAGGTAAACGCCGCCGAGTACTAAACTGCAAACCAATCAAAACTTGTACACTACCGGTCAAAAGTTTTAGAACACCTATTCATTCAAGGGTTTTTCTTTATTTTGACTATTTTCTACATTGTAGAATAATAGTGAAGACAAACTATGAAATAAAACATATGGAATCATGTAGTAACCAAAAAAGTGTTAAACAAATCAAAAACTATTTTTTATTTGAGATTCTTCAAATAGCCACCCTTTTCCTTGATGACAGCTTTGCACTCTTGGCATTCTCTCAACCAGCTTCATGAGGTAGTCACCTGGAATGCATTTCAATTAACAAGTGTGCCTTCTTAAAAGTTAATTTGTGGAATTTCTTTCCTTCTTAATGCGTTTGAGCCAATCAGTTGTGTTGTGACAAGGTAGGGGGGGTATACAGAAGATAGCCCTATTTGGTAAAAGACCAAGTCCATATTATGGCAAGAACAGCTCAAATATGCAAAGAGAAATGACAGTCCATCATTACTTTAAGACATGAATGTCAGTCAATATGGAACATTTCAAGAACTTTCAAAGTTTCTTCAAGTGTAGTCGCAAAAACCATCAAGCACCTTCTTCTGTGGATTTTATATGGTAACCAACTTTAAGGTGCATCACCACAACCAACTGGACTGGAGCGTGGTCCTCGTTCATCACCACAACCAACTGGACTGGAGCGTGGTCCTCGTTCATCACCACAACCAACTGGACTGGAGCGTGGTCCTCGTGCATCACCACAACCAACTGGACTGGAGCGTGGTCCTCGTTCATCACCACAACCAACTGGACTGGAGCGTGGTCCTCGTTCATCACCACAACCAACTGGACTGGAGCGTGGTCCTCGTGCATTACCACAACCAACTGGACTGGAGCGTGGTCCTCGTTCATCACCACAACCAACTGGACTGGAGCGTGGTCCTCGTGCATTACCACAACCAACTGGACTGGAGCGTGGTCCTCGTTCATCACCACAACCAACTGGACTGGAGCGTGGTCCTCGTTCATCTCTCCATCCCCCATCTGCTCCTAAAAACCCATGAGGAGATGGGAGAGGCGGGACGTGCAGCGCGTCAGGTACCAAGTTCTATTTGAACGCCTGGCTACGCAGGTGCTTGGGAGCAGTTTGGATGAAATGATTGAATAACATGTACATTTATTTTCCACTTTTCCCAATTCGTCCTTCACCATCTTCCAAGACCGCAAACGGGTCGACCCCAAAAAAACCATTACTGCTCATGAATCACACTCCAACTACACACTCCAACTACACACTACACACTCCAACTACACACTACACACTCCAACTTCACACTCCAACTACACACTCCAACTACACTCTCCAACTACACACTCCAACTACACACTCCTGTTCATTTTCAACTTCAGCCCTTTACATTCCACTCTTCTTAACCATCGTCTCACCAACTTAACTTGAGCCAAGAGAATCACACGATGCTTCCGCCATTGCTTCTGAGAGCTTGTGTACCATCCATGCTTCCGCCATTGCTTCTGAGAGCTTGTGTACCATCCATGCTTCCGCCATTGCTTCTGAGAGCTTGTGTACCATCCATGCTTCCGCCATTGCTTCTGAGAGCTTGTGTACCATCCATGCTTCCGCCATTGCTTCTGAGAGCTTGTGTACCATCCATGCTTCCGCCATTGCTTCTGAGAGCTTGTGTACCATCCATGCTTCCGCCATTGCTTCTGAGAGCTTGTGTACCATCCATGGTATCTCTGCTGATCAGGTCTGCCAATCACGTTATCCATATCCAAGGTAGTAGGCATCTCAAGAGAGATCTCTGTCCGACAAACTGCTGTCAGGTAAAGTATGTATTTATTTGTAGTCTGTTTAGTTACAGAAACGTGATGCCATCAATGCAAGCTGTAAAACGACCCCCAGCTTAGAACACAGCAACCTTAGTAATGTAGCTAGATAGCAACCAGTAGATAGCTTTATCGCTAGCTAGCGTGTCATTCAGGGACAAGGAGTGTTTTAGCTATCAGTTTATCCCAAGTAATAATTCAGGACTACAACCATCTATAGGACAAGTAGTGTAAATCTGATACAGTCATCAAGGCAGGACCCACTCATTTTATTCATAATGATGGATTCTGTTAAAATGTAACATGTTTCAAGTTAAACCGTAGTTTGTTTGTATCGTGTTTAGTGAATGATTCCTGTATTAAATTTGAGTTTAGGCCATGAAACTGTCTGTACGCTAATTTGGAGAGGTTTACCTAATCAGATAAGAGGAAAATGCCTCGGATCAGGGAGCAGGGTCAGGCCCAGGACAATGAAGATGGATGGGGTGTGATTCTGACATCTAGCTAACCAAAGAGAGGATCATGGACATTCCACAGGGGGAGAGAAGGGAAACTCATTGGGGTCATAAGATGTATAGCTGGGGAGGAGACACCTACAGGAGGCTGATGACCAAAAGGAGGGAGGAGTAGAAGATGTGTTGTGAACTTTCTAAATGTATGCGATCAGCTGACGGCATCCTTGGTAATAAACACTTGAAACTTCTCGAGCTTTTGGTCTCAATTCCTTATTGCAAAGACGTTGCAATAGCATTTTAATTTTTAACAACACCGACCAATAAGAAATGCCATATTATCCCTGTCAATAGTAGGATGATTGCAGAGCAGCCTGTCAGAATGTTCACTTTCTAGCTCACACACTACATTCCCTTTTCTGTGAGGATTTTATTCATTCACTTTTGTCTTGTATGATCTATTCAGCTCTCCTGTGTCCTGCTCCTAGAGATCAGCCAAGTGATATTCACCAAGCATGGGCTGATTCACTCACTGTGAGGAGGACCATCCTCCTGCAGTCACTATTTACACCATTTAAGTCATTTAGCAGATGCTCTTATCCAGAGCGACTTACAGGAGCAATTAGGGTTAAGTGCCTTGCTCAAGGGCACATCGACAGAATTTTCACCTAGTCGGCTCGGGGATTAAGAACCAGCAACCTTTCGGTTACTGGCACAACGCTCTTAACCACTAAGCTATTTGCCTGTCGTCCTTTGTGGATTTTGTCTTACACAGTCTAATGCATTTTAGAGTTGAAGAACACCCACTACAGATACGCGTGCTTGAGCATCTCAAAGACTAAATTCAATGTAGAATCAATTTAACAGGTGACAAACAGATGATTGTACTATTGTAACATGCAGTGGGGAGAATTCTATTGTCACCTACAGGAGGCAGCGTTCTCATCTCTGGACCACACAAGCTTTGGATTGCGTTCTGCTAAGGCACTTGTCTCTCTCTACATCGGTCAGCTAGATTGGTGACCAGGGTGGGATCCGTGGTCCTCAGTAGCTCAGCTGGTAGAGCACGGCGCTTGTAACGCCAGGGTAGTGGGTTCGATCCCCGGGACCACCCATACGTAAAAATGTATGCGCACATGACTAAGTCGCTTTGGATAAAAGCGTCTGCTAAATGGCATATTATAAGCCTATGGGGGCCTGGGAACATGAATGCCCCTAGAGAGAAGGGGGGGATACTGAGGCATGCGTTGATGACAGTTCTACAGTCTCCATCAGAGGCCCAGGCTTTTGGCATAGATGGTAAAGCTCTCATATCTGGACTGCATCATCATACGATTGTGTCCTCCACGGTACTTGATATACATTGATTGGTAGGTTATATATTGATTTGATTGGTAGGCTATATATTGATTGGTAGGTTATATATTGATTGGTAGGTTATATATAGACACTGCCTCAGACACCTTTGCTATTTGTCTCTGTATTCAATAAATGGTGAACCACTATTTGTGATGGTGTTCTTTGTTCGTATGTATATCCATGAAACGTACAGTACATTCTGGAAATCACGTCTCTCACTCAGTCATAGTTAGTAGCATAATGAATGGATTGGCAAGATTTTGGCACCGTCGACTTTTAGAAGGTTAGTAGGACAGTGAATCATGTAAAACACCTTAAATATACTCACATTCCCTGAACATTTAGTATTTGAAACTCAAACATTCAAATCAAATCAAATTTTATTGGCCACATGCGCCGAATACAACAGGTGCAGACATTACAGTGAAATGCTTACTTACAGCCCTTAACCAACAGTGTATTTATTTTTAATAAAAAAGTAGAATAAAACAAAAAAAGTGTTG